TAAAAAGCTGGTGGCAAAAGGGGAACCATCTGGTGAGGACTTACCAACTACAGGGTTGCTTGGGGTGTTATATGATACGCCCTATAACAGGTACTGAGCTCAGCATTTTATAGAGGTTATGGTCAAGGTGATGTTATATGGTGTTATATAACATTCATTAATCGTGGTAGGACGCGTGGTAGCACGACGTGCCGTCAGACTCGTGTCGTAGGGTACCATGGCACCATGTGGCTGCGCTCTGAAATGGGGGATACCCATCTGAAATGGGGAAGATTGTATGGGAAGATGATGGCATGATTAGAGATGATTTTATAGACGGTATGATGGTATGATTTCATGATATTTCATGGATGCTGTTCATAGATAACGACCATTGGTGAAACCGGTGAAACTGCTTCCAGATTTCCCAGCTTCACCAAATGAATGCACTGAGTTTAAGTTTACTTTGAAATGTTACCTTCTAAACCCTATATACCCTATGTGGTTTCATTCACCTAGAGAAGGATCCCGTTCCCACTGCTTCTCACTCCCCCATTCAGCTGTGCACCTTGTAGTTGTTGCAACCCAGCACCACGCCAACAATGTTCTTACCGATGTCGTGCACGTCACCCTTCACGGTGGCCTTCAGTCTGACACTGCACTGTCCAATTCAGGGTGTAACACTTCTGAAGGCTGGACATTTGCCAGTTCAATCTCAACGTGTGAAACACTATTTGTTTTGCCTATATATATATGAAACCATAAATTATATGTATATATTATGTATATCATATTTTATCACACTTCATACTTGGATATTATTTGTGTACATATTATTTATATATTTATCTGGATGCAACTTGATCCCCATTGGTAGCCATCCAAAATCTCTACTGGGCTCTGGGCCATCAGCACCACGCCGTTGTACTTGGGCTGGTTGGGATCTTCACCAGCGGCAATGGCCTGGATGCAAAAATCGGGATGGTGGGGATCAGGGATCAATCGTGGGAAATCCCCGAACTACGATGGGATCTTGGGAAAATTGCCAGGTTTAAATTGTTTGATTACCTTCCTCGTATGGTTTGAACATGTTTGAACCTAACTCAGCAAGATTTGAAAATCCAAGAGGCTTGAGCGCGACGTTCTTCCTCCATGAAAGGAGTCAGGTATGCGACAGCCTGTCATCCATGGCCGAGGATTTGTGGCCTTGAAATGTTCGGTCTAAACAACAACTGTTGGATTTGCAGATTCCAACATCCACTTCAAAACGAAACCTGGTTTGGATAGTTTCTTGATTTTCTTGTATTATGCATGACTGCTGTTCATCTATTTAATGCTACTCACCAGATAGCGAAATTCCAATGATGCGTATCACAAGGATCCCAGCGAAGCTTATCACGCGGGAAGTTTTTGGACCCCCGAGATTGGATGGTCAACGTGTAGATGATATGGAGATATCAGAGATATACAGAGTAAATTCTTCAAATTTCTTCAATGTGATCAACAAAATCTGTGGCTTTTGGGTTTTCCACCATGGTTTTCCCTCAGAATTTTGGTCGCCATTCCATGCCATTCCGGTGTTTGGATCGAGCCTTCTTCATCACGCGCGCGCTCTTGATGACCTGCGGCAAGAACATCTTACCAGCACCGAAGAGATCTCCGATGATGCCCATTCCTCGCCCAGATGGACTGCGGTGGTTGTGGTGGTTGATGGATTTGTGTCATGTTTCCAGAGGGTTCCTGAAAATATCAGGGTCAACCTGGAATCGTCATCCCAAGGAGGGTGAAATCAGATGGACGGATCCAACCCCTGCGGGGACGCCCTGCCCTTGGCTGGTGATCTCATTTCATCTCATTTCCAGCTGTAGGGCAAGTAAGAATCAGAAAATACACTGGGAGGTAGAGTTACTGTCAAACTTCAATCTCCAACATACCCTCCGGCAATTTAGTAGGTTGTTCTGGAAGCCATGGCCCATAGCCCATTTACTTCGATGATTTAAGTCTCGCATCTCACAGGGCATCCCCTATCCAAGGACAAGTTGATAAATCTTAATCGCATCTAATCCCCATTATCATCCATTATCCCATGATCAAACGTGGGAAATTCGACCATTTCCAGATGCTTTTCCAGATGCGATTTTCCAGCCGTGTTGGATGTTGGATCACCGGAGGGTCTGGATCTCCCCTGGCCAAGGTCCCAAGGTCCGGTCCTTGCATCAATGGTCCCTCAATGACGTGCAGAGGAACCTGCAGCTCCTTTCTGGCCTCGCAAGTGGCCACCAAAATTAGCCATGGGATTCAATGAAATGAGCGAAATTTGACAGGAACTCCAGCGAAATTTGACGCTAGAAACCTGGGTTTCAACTGTAGAAAAAATGGCAAATTATCGAGGGTAGAAAGTCGAAACCTGGGTTTCCTCTGGTTCCCCGCAGTTTTTTTTAATTTGTTGTTGCCCTATCCCAAATCTTCAGAGTGCGTCCTCCTCGGTATCGCCCTCAATGAACTTGTCGATGCCGTTGATGAGCCTCGGAAAGGTGGGACTCCAACAACTGTGAGGGGCTCCAAAAACTGATTCTACATATTGGGACAATTGTTTATATTGTTTATCCAATATAAATCTACTGATTTTACATAAATATATTGTTTATCCAAAAACTGTTAAAAAAAAAAACATGTGTAAAAAAAAAAACAAACTGTTGTTTTTTCTGGTTCCCTTGGTATGAACAATCCCTGAGCATCATGTATGGTGTATATCCAAACCTCTTGGTGTGACAAAGAGTCTATGTTGGGACACTGGGCATCCCCGACCCGTAGTGGAGTCGCTCAGTGAAGGTGCCCGAGCGCCAAGCATCCTGTTTTTTATGGGCCAGCTGCCATGGGCTGTTTCGTATCTATCCCCACTGTTGGTGGTTCAGAAAATCCCAGAATTCGTTGAATATCTCCACGACTTTGCTCGAAAAAAAAAAAAACAGGAATCATACATCATGTCAACTAGACAATTCACATAATATGAACAATTGTCAACTAGACAATGTCCTTTAAATATTGAACACTTTCATTATCAACTAACGTCATACAGTAGATCATATAACAATAATTGAAGATAATCATCATGGCCCCCCAGCCACTCTGCCACCTGCCTTGGCCTTCTCACCACCACCAGCAGCGCCGCCGGCAGGGGCTGCAGGCTTGCGAACTGCCTGGCATATGGTGACCTGGGGATCCCTTAGGTTTAGGAAAGCGCCATGTTGTAAGCAGGTGCTTATATAATATGTCAACTGTTACAGTAAAAAATTGAAACTATTATTGCGGACATAATTGCATTGGATGATTTGTTGAAACATAATGGGATTGTCAATTTCATACAGTTTCCAGATTAGAGCCTGGCAAATCCTCCACAACTGGATTGAAACCTGCAACAGTCTGTAACTATGAGCACTAGCAGTCACTGGACACGTCCAAATTAGCTGTCGTTCAGCCATGAAATCATATTTTGAAACACACCTTTCCCATCGATTTTGTCGACGCTAATATGGGCCACGGTCAATATTTAGTATACAGCTCCAAGTCATCAATTTTTGAAGAGTGTCTGAGTGTCTTATCGTTTTTCAGGTTTTGGGAATTCGGAATATAGCAAATATTATCATTTTTTTTGAAGACTGTGTTATCGTTTTCCAAGCCCCAGCTCAATTTTCAAAAAATAAAAATATCGAATACATTCGAATACTACTTTCCATTGCGGTAAACTTTGGCTGTACCTCATATACCTTCCATAGAATGCCAGTATTACAAAATATCAAAATATGTGATATGTGTATGTCCATGACAGAATATGCTCGTGGGAAAATGGCCCGACGAACCTCTGCGTACTCCAAAAAGCGCTCGACCTTGACAACATGCTTCATAGGAACTCTTTAGACTGGAACATCCATTCTTCATAGCAGGGTATCCTTTGATTTCCTTCGGTTTCCTTTGATTTTCTTTGATTTGGGGCTGGGTGGATTCTGTGGTTTTTCGTTGATTTCATTTGGTTTCCTTCGGTTTCCTTTGGTTTTCTTTGGTTTGGGGCTGGGTGGATTCTACGGTTTTCCTTTGGTTTCCTTTGATTTCCTTCGGTTTCCTTTGATTTTCTTTGGTTTGGGGCCGGGTGGATTCTGTGGTTTTTCGTTGATTTCATTTGGTTTCCTTCGGTTTCCGTTGGTTTTCTTTGGTTTGGGGCTGGGTGGATTCTACGGTTTTCCTTTGGTTTCCTTTGATTTCCTTCGGTTTCCTTTGATTTTCTTTGGTTTGGGGCCGGGTGGATTCTGTGGTTTTTCGTTGATTTCATTTGGTTTCCTTCGGTTTCCGTTGGTTTTCTTTGGTTTGGGGCTGGGTGGATTCTACGGTTTTCCTTTGGTTTCCTTTGATTTCCTTCGGTTTCCTTTGATTTTCTTTGGTTTGGGGCTGGGTGGATTCTGTGGTTTTTCGTTGATTTCATTTGGTTTCCTTCGGTTTCCTTTGGTTTTCTTTGGTTTGGGGCTGGGTGGATTCTACGGTTTTCCTTTGGTTTCCTTTGATTTCCTTCGGTTTCCTTTGATTTTCTTTGGTTTGGGGCCGGGTGGATTCTGTGGTTTTTCGTTGATTTCATTTGGTTTCCTTCGGTTTCCTTTGGTTTTCTTTGGTTTGGGGCTGGGTGGATTCTACGGTTTTCCTTTGGTTTCCTTTGATTTCCTTCGGTTTCCTTTGATTTTCTTTGGTTTGGGGCTGGGTGGATTCTACGGTTTTCCTTTGGTTTCCTTTGGTTTTGTTTGGTTTCCAAGGGAGAAAGAAAGAAAAATAAAATCCAAGGAAAAGACAAACCAATCAAGGAAAGTCTAAGGAGGCTATAAGCCGATAGAATGCATCAATCATGCCTGTTACTAAGGAGGCTGCTAGAATGCTGGCAACTGGGATATGTTGGGATACACCGTATAAATCTCAAGACATTCGGAACGACTAAGACCATGATGAAACACTTCCTTTTGAGCCCTTTTGCTTTTGGAATGGTCGTACGTCGTAGTAACTTTCGTGGCAAACGCAACTATGGGAGTAGCACCCGAGAACACTTCTGCAGGCTGACAGGTAGACTTCAAAACAGGTGTCATTGAAGCCACATAACTTTGAGATATGACATGATATGTCTGATCACCCATCTAGAAGGGGTTGCATCCCAAACCACATGGGGATGACCCGATGGCCCGTCAAACCAGGTCCTGCTACCTCTTTGTCCAGGTCCGTTCGGCACCCCCACATGCTTGCCATCTGCGGATTTGTTGAGGATCACCTGGCAGCGAAAGTCTCAGCAAGTCCATCAAGTCCATCAAGCCCATCAAGCCCATCAAGCCCATCTTTCAAAGCGAAAATAAACAGAGCGATAAACCCTTGAAATGGAGGACTCCACAGGACGCCACATTCCAGTGGGGCCACCTCCTCAGCCAGCTTGCGGGTGTGGGCATCGATGTCGTTGTAGCGGGGCAATCCTGGAACCAGGGATTCGGATCTACTGGATCCTGGTGGTAGACAATTGACTTGATAAGTTCCATTGATGGTATCCAATAAGAATGATTCTAATGTATTCTAATGTATTCTAATGTATTCTAATGTATTCTAATGTATTCTAATGCAAATTCCAGCTAAAATCCATATAAGTTCAAGAATTCCAAGAAAAGACGATAACAAGCTTTCGTTTCAGGAGGGATTCAGATGAGGTCTTGAAAAAAAAAAGCGCCAGGAAATTTGTCCTGGTGACATTGGATGACAATTGGTAGATGCAACTTTTGAATTCTCTTGGAATACATCCAGAATAAGAGTGATCCAGTGATCAGCAATGACTGAAAAATCCACAAGCCTCCAGGGTTGACGATGGACATGTTGAGGCCCTTGGGAACAGCATGGTACAGGAAGATGCTGTGCATGGCATCTCGCAGGGAGTTGAGACCACGGAAAGAGAAGGACAAGTTGCTCAAGCCGCCCGAGAAGGAAACGCAAGGGCAAGTGCGCTTGATTTCTTCAACTGCATTGATGAAGTCAAGAGCATAGGAGTTGTGCTCTGGCAAGCCAGTGGCAATGGTCAGCACGTTGCAGTCGAAGATGATGTCCTCTGGAGGGAAATCCAAGTTCTCCCTGAGGACCCTGTAGCTGCGCTGGCAGATCCTGACCTTGTCTTCAAAAGTTGCAGCCTGGCCCTTCTCGTCGAACGCCATGACAACGACGGCCGCACCGTAACGCATGCACAAGTCGGCATGCTTGATGAACTCCTCCTCACCTGGCTTGAGCGAGATGGAGTTGACGATGCATTTGCCCTGCACGCACTTCAAGCCTTCCTCCACGACATGCCACTTTGACGAGTCAATCATGAAAGGCAACTTGGCCAGAGTGGGCTCAGTGACGCAAAGCTTCATGAACTTGCTCATTGCAGACTGACCATCGATGAGGTCGGAATCGAAGTTGAAGTCCAAAATGTCGGCCTTCTTCTCGCACTGAGCAATGCAAACCTCCATTGCCTCATCCCACTTGTAAGCATCTACCAACTTCTTGAACTTGGCGGAGCCCATGAGGTTGCAGCGTTCTCCAACCCATTGGAAGCCTGTCTCTTTGTTCACACTGCATGGCTCGAGACCAGAGAGCATCATGGTGGGGTACTTGGGCAATTCAGGCAGCTTGCGGACCGGGCACTTCTCGACCTTCTTGCACACAGCTGCGATGTGGGATGGGAAAGTGCCGCAGCATCCACCCACAAAGTTGAGCAGGCCATCCTTGGCGTAGTCCAAGATGTTGGTGGAGAAAATCTCCGGATCCTCATCATAGCCACCCATGGCATTTGGCAGGCCAGCATTGGGGTACACATGGCACCAGCCGGTGTTCATGTCGGCAAGCTTCTTGTAGAAGCCCTTCATCTGCGCAGCACCCAGGGCGCAATTGATGCCAACGGTGAACGGGTTGCAATGCTTCACACTCACGTAGAAGGCCTCAATGGTCTGACCCGACAGGGTGCGGCCGCTGTTGTCCACAATGGTGGCACTGAGCATCACTGGGAGCTTCTCCTTCTTGGTCTCCCTGAAATATTCATCCACGGCAAAAATGGCGGCCTTGCAGTTCTGGGTGTCGAAGACGGTCTCGATCATCAACATGTCGACACCACCGTCCACAAGGCCACTGACCTGCTCCTTGTATGCAGCCACCAGCTCATCCCACGTGACGTTGCGGAAGGAGGGATCCTCAACGCTGGGGGAAACAGACAAAGTGCGGCTTGTAGGACCAACAGCTCCTGCCACGAAGCGGGGCTTGTGAGGCTCCTCCTTGGTCACCTCTGCTGCTGCCTTCTTGGCGAGCTCTGCTCCAACCTTGTTCATCTCATGGACGATGGCCTGCATCTTGTACTCACCCTGAGACACAGAGGTGCCATTGAAAGTGTTGGTCTCGCAAATGTCAGAGCCTGCTGCGAAGTACTCCTTGTGGATGTCCTTCACCATGTCAGGCTTGGTGAAAATCAACAAATCATTGTTGCCCTTCAAGGACACTGGAACACCGTTGGCATCCTTCTCATTGAAATCCTTGAACCTGTCGCCGCGGTAATCTGGTTCCTCCAACCTCTCAGCCTGGATTCGTGTACCCATGCCACCATCCAAGAAGCAAATGCGCTTCTTCAACTCAGCGTTGAAGTAGTTGATGACCTCAGTAGGAGTAGGAGTCTTGCCCTCAATGATCTTTTGGGAGATCTTCTGCGTGTCCTGTGGGCCTTCAACACGGCAAGGGTCCACCCGAGCACAACCAGGCTTGGGTTTGATGTGTTCAGCCTCGCATGTGACAGTCTCCTTCAAAGACCTCAAGAACGTAGCCTGCTGCTCTGCGGTTGACTTCTCAATCTTCAGAGTTGGTCCTGCAGGGGCTGGGGCAGGAGGATTCTTCACCTTCTCCGCGAACTCCAAGAATCGCTCCACGTGGTTGCCTGGGAAATGAGTACAGTATAACCCCAAAGTTTGTATACACCAAAATTGGATGCAACATGCAATTAATATCAACAAGACTTCAAGATACAAATGAGATCAAGTGAGTGTATCATTTCCAATAAATAGTGTCAAACACTCAAGTGCTCAAGGCAAAACTTCTGAGAACAAGTGTTTTGAATCTCCTTGAAATAGGCAAGTTGCCATCATCGGACTTGTTCAGAATCACCTCCTCAGCCAGTTTGCGAGTGTTGGCATCGATGTCCTCATAGCGAGGCAAGGCACCAGGGTTGACGATGGACATGTTGAGGCCCTTGGGAACAGCATGGTACAGGAAGATGCTGTGCATGGCATCTCGCAGGGAGTTGAGACCACGGAAAGAGAAGGACAAGTTGCTCAAGCCGCCCGAGAAGGAAACGCAAGGGCAAGTGCGCTTGATTTCTTCAACTGCATTGATGAAGTCAAGAGCATAGGAGTTGTGCTCTGGCAAGCCAGTGGCAATGGTCAGCACGTTGCAGTCGAAGATGATGTCCTCTGGAGGGAAATCCAACTTCTCCCTGAGGACCCTGTAGCTGCGCTGGCAGATCCTGACCTTGTCTTCAAAAGTTGCAGCCTGGCCCTTCTCGTCGAACGCCATGACAACGACGGCCGCACCGTAACGCATGCACAAGTCGGCATGCTTGATGAACTCCTCCTCACCTGGCTTGAGCGAGATGGAGTTGACGATGCATTTGCCCTGCACGCACTTCAAGCCTTCCTCCACGACATGCCACTTTGACGAGTCAATCATGAAAGGCAACTTGGCCACAGTGGGCTCAGTGACGCAAAGCTTCATGAACTTGCTCATTGCAGACTGACCATCGATGAGGTCGGAATCGAAGTTGAAGTCCAAAATGTCGGCCTTCTTCTCGCACTGAGCAATGCAAACCTCCATTGCCTCATCCCACTTGTAAGCATCTACCAACTTCTTGAACTTGGCGGAGCCCATGAGGTTGCAGCGTTCTCCAACCCATTGGAAGCCTGTCTCTTTGTTCACACTGCATGGCTCGAGACCAGAGAGCATCATGGTGGGGTACTTGGGCAATTCAGGCAGCTTGCGGACCGGGCACTTCTCGACCTTCTTGCACACAGCTGCGATGTGGGATGGGAAAGTGCCGCAGCATCCACCCACAAAGTTGAGCAAGCCATCCTTGGCATAGTCCAAGATGTTGGTGGAGAAAATCTCCGGATCCTCATCATAGCCACCCATGGCATTTGGCAGGCCAGCATTGGGGTACACATGGCACCAGCCGGTGTTCATGTCGGCAAGCTTCTTGTAGAAGCCCTTCATCTGCGCAGCACCCAGGGCGCAATTGATGCCAACGGTGAACGGGTTGCAATGCTTCACACTCACGTAGAAGGCCTCAATGGTCTGACCCGACAGGGTGCGGCCGCTGTTGTCCACAATGGTGGCACTGAGCATCACTGGGAGCTTCTCCTTCTTGGTCTCCCTGAAATATTCATCCACGGCAAAAATGGCGGCCTTGCAGTTCTGGGTGTCGAAGACGGTCTCGATCATCAACATGTCGACACCACCGTCCACAAGGCCACTGACCTGCTCCTTGTATGCAGCCACCAGCTCATCCCACGTGACGTTGCGGAAGGAGGGATCCTCAACGCTGGGGGAAACAGACAAAGTGCGGCTTGTAGGACCAACAGCTCCTGCCACGAAGCGGGGCTTGTGAGGCTCCTCCTTGGTCACCTCTGCTGCTGCCTTCTTGGCGAGCTCTGCTCCAACCTTGTTCATCTCATGGACGATGGCCTGCATCTTGTACTCACCCTGAGACACAGAGGTGCCATTGAAAGTGTTGGTCTCGCAAATGTCAGAGCCTGCTGCGAAGTACTCCTTGTGGATGTCCTTCACCATGTCAGGCTTGGTGAAAATCAACAAATCATTGTTGCCCTTCAAGGACACTGGAACACCGTTGGCATCCTTCTCATTGAAATCCTTGAACCTGTCGCCGCGGTAATCTGGTTCCTCCAACCTCTCAGCCTGGATTCGTGTACCCATGCCACCATCCAAGAAGCAAATGCGCTTCTTCAACTCAGCGTTGAAGTAGTTGATGACCTCAGTAGGAGTAGGAGTCTTGCCCTCAATGATCTTTTGGGAGATCTTCTGCGTGTCCTGTGGGCCTTCAACACGGCAAGGGTCCACCCGAGCACAACCAGGCTTGGGTTTGATGTGTTCAGCCTCGCATGTGACAGTCTCCTTCAAAGACCTCAAGAACGTAGCCTGCTGCTCTGCAGTTGACTTCTCAATCTTCAGAGTTGGTCCTGCAGGGGCTGGGGCAGGAGGATTCTTCACCTTCTCCGCGAACTCCAAGAATCGTTCCACGTGGTTGCCTGAAAATATATCAACGTGGTTACCCTGAAAAGAAAACCTGTTATATTGCTATGTACCTTTGTGTATCTTCAAAATATAATCATGTGCTGTCACACACCATTTTCATGAATCATGCCAGATCAACAACATTTCAGAATACAAATCGTTTGAAATTTATTGTGAGTTCATATGTCATCAACATCTATTTATATATATATATGATATTTGTATGCACTACAATTTAATTGTCACTACCATATTAAGCAGTGGTACTGCATAAGGCCGTCGCGGAAATTTCAGAGCTAGGAAACCTCTGTATAGGAGAGTTTGGTTGTTGTGATGCTTGGCTGGCAGAGCGAACTGATCGACTGAAAGGTGGTTGACGCTCTGAGTCTCTCTCTCTTTCTCTTTCTGTCTCTCTCTCTCTCTATCGCTCTCTATGTTTTTTTTCTATCTAATTTTCTCTCTGTTTCATTCTCTCTGCGCCTCTCTATCTGTCTATCTATCTGTCTATCCATCCATCTATGTATTGATGTATCTGTGTATCTATGCATCTATCTATGTATCTATCTATGGGTCTCTTTAATCTATCTATCTATTTTTGTTTTTATTTTTCTATCTTTCTATCTGTCTATGTTTCAATCATTTTATCTTTTCTGACTATGTTTCTATCCTTCTATTTTTCTATCCTTATATCTGTCTTTCTATCGTTCTATCTTTCTATCTGTCTATCTGTCTGTCTAGCTGTCTCGCTGCCTGTCTACCTGTCTATCAGTCTGCCTGTTTATCTGTCTGCAGCATGTGTCTACAGCATGTGTCTATTTGTCTATGTTTTTGTCTATCTGTCTATCTATCTGTCTATCTGTGTATCTGTCTATCTGTGTGTCTGTCTATCTCTCTATCTATCTATGGATCGGTCTATCAATCTATCTGCCTGTCTATCTGTCTGTCTATCTGTCTTTCTGTCTTTCTGTCTGTCTGTCTATGTGTCTGTCTGTCAATCTGTCCATCTGGCTATCTGACTGGACTATCCATGTATCTGTAAATTTGTCTATCTATCTTTCTATGTATGTATCTAACTGTCTATCTGTCATTCTGACTATCTGACAATCTATGTATGTATCTATCTATCTGGCTATCTGTCTACCTGGCTATCTGACTACCTATCTATCTGTCTATATGTCCCTCTGTTTGCCTGTTTATCTATCTACCTACCTCTTTATCTCTTTATCTCTCTATCTCTCTATCTCTCTATCTATCTATCTATCCATCCATCTATCTATTTCTGAAAGAACGGAATTCTGCCAGGATCCCTTCAAATGTGGAAAACGAAGCAATTCCGCAAGACTCCCTCAAAAACAGGAAGTTGACAGCTCCAAAACGAAGAAATTCTGCGAACCGTCAACTTTTGAACTTGACGACGTCAAAAACGAAGCAATTCTGCGAGACTACCTTCAAACAATTAAAAGGTGAGTGCGGAACTGACGGCCTCGTACCAATGCGTTTTGCGATTTTTCCACTCCATCTGTCCAAAGTACTGCGCCTGCCAGGAAAAAGTGAAGCCCTGCCACGCAAAATCATCTTAGCAAACCTGAAGATCTGATGCTCCAAAATGCAACCCCTCTTGGGAAATCAGCGCCCTGACCTCCAAACATCTCTGATGAAGCTGTCTCTTGTACCGCGCCTGCGCAAAATGTAGCAGATCCTCTTCTAAAGCCCATTCGTCTTTCGCAACTGCCATAAAAGCTTCACATTTTGCTTGCGTTTGGCAAGGTGCAGAATCCATTGCGCCTGCCACGCAAAACGACACTTGAATGTCCAAAAGTGGTCCGAATGTGGTGTGCTTCTACCATTTTGACTTCGAAATGTGCTTCACGCCACAACGCCGTGCACTTTTTCGACATCTGAACGTCCAAAAGTGGTCCGAGACCGTCAGTTTTTAACACTGTTGGCTTGCAAATGTGTTTCGCGCCAAAACGGCGTGCACTTTTTGAACAGCTCAACTTCCAAAAGTGCTCTGGGCGTGAGGTGTTTTGACATTTTAGATCATTTTGACTTCCACATGTGCTTCGCGCCACAGCCGCTTGCACTTTTTCGACATGTCAATTTGACTTCCAAACTTCCTTCGATTACCATTGCCATTATCATGACTGACTATGCGTATGAATGTAATATATATTCATAATATATACATATAATAGACATAGACTATATATATATATGGGGGTTGTCCTAAATTACTGTTCCCACAAAGGCCTCTTGGGCCGAGCTTGCGCCAACCTTGCGCGTTTCTTGCGCGACCACACTCCCGGATCACTTTCATCATTTCAGTTGTTTTTCATCATTATTCTCGTACTTGTTTTCGAATGTTAAATACTTAGTATTCACTTAGTATTTCGTACTGGGAAGTAGTTTGTGCAAGCTTTGTAGTACACAGTAGTACTGGGAAGTAGTTTGTGCAAGCTTTGTAGTACAAAGTAGTTGGGAAGTAGTTTGTGCAAGCTTTGTAGTGCAAAGTAGTACTGGGAAGTAGTTTGTGCAAGCTTTGTAGTACACAGTAGTACTGGGAAGTAGTTTGTGCAAGTGTAGTACAAAGTAGTACTGGGAAGTAGTTTGTGCAAGCTTTGTAGTGCAAAGTAGTACTGGGAAGTAGTTTGTGCAAGCTTTGTAGTACACAGTAGTACTGGGAAGTAGTTTGTGCAAGCTTTGTAGTACAAAGTAGTACTGGGAAGTGGTTTGTGCAAGCTTTGTAGTACACAGTAGTACTGGGAAGTGCTTTGTGCAAGCTTTGTAGTACACAGTAGTACTGGGAAGTGGTTTGTGCAAGCTTTGCAGTACACAGTAGTACTGGGAAGTCGTTTGTGCAAGCTTTGTAGTACAAAGTAGTACTGGGAAGTAGTTTGTGCAAGCTTTGTAGTGCAAAGTAGTACTGGGAAGTAGTTTGTGCAAGCTTTGTAGTACACAGTAGTACTGGGAAGTAATTTGTGCAAGCCATGTAGTACAAAGTAGTACTGGGAAGTAGTTTGTGCAAGCTTTGTAGTGCAAAGTAGTACTGGGAAGTAGTTTGTGCAAGCTTTGTAGTACACAGTAGTACTGGGAAGTAGTTTGTGCAAGCTTTGTAGTACAAAGTAGTACTGGGAAGTGCTTTGTGCAAGCTTTGTAGTGCACAGAAGTACTGGGAAGTGCTTTGTGCAAGCTTTGTAGTACACAGTAGTACTGGGAAGTGGTTTGTGCAAGCTTTGTAGTACACAGTAGTACTGGGAAGTGGTGTGTGCAAGCTTTGTAGTACACAGTAGTACTGGGAAGTGGTTTGTGCAAGCTTTGTAGTACACAGTAGTACTGGGAAGTAGTTTGTGCAAGCTTTGTAGTACACAGTAGTACTGGGAAGTGGTTTGTGCAAGCTTTGTAGTACAAAGTAGTACTGGGAAGTGCTTTGTGCAAGCTTTGTAGTACACAGGAGTACTGGGAAGTGCTTTGTGCAAGCTTTGTAGTACACAGTAGTACTGGGAAGTGCTTTGTGCAAGCTTTGTAGTACACAGTAGTACTGGGAAGTGGTTTGTGCAAGCTTTGTAGTACACAGTAATACTGGGAAGTAGTACTGGGAAGTAGCTCTGCACGTGTTGAACTTCTGTGGTTTCAGAGCGGTTTCAGAGTGGTTTCAGACCCCTTCGGGGGGTCTAGCTGACCTTGATGAAAAGAACAATTTACAGACAGAAAAGACTTGAACACAACATACAAGGAAATACATTTAAAGAGCAGATAAATAGATAAATAGATAGATAGATAGAGATAAAGCAGCCAACGCGGTCCGGAAGACATGCAGCAGCAGCCCGGAGATGGTGAGCAGGAAGGTGTTTCAGAGTGGTTTCAGACCTCTTTTGGGCTTTTTTGGGTACCCCCAGCTTTGGGAGATGAAAAAAGAAAGAGAAAAGGTAGAGAAAGAGAGAGAGAGAGACAGAGAGAGGAAGAGGGAAAGAGAGAGAGAGAGAGAGAGATAGAGAGAGAGAGACAGAGAGAGGAAGATGGAAGATGGAAGATGGAGACAAACAGAAGGCGAGAGAGAGGGAGAGAGAGAGAGAGACAGAGAGAGGAAGAGGGAGAGGAGACAGAGAGAGAGCATTGTAAATGGTGAGCAGCGGGGTGTTTCAGAGTGGTTTCAGACCTCTTTTTGTCCGTAGGCTACCTCAGCTTTGGAGAAAAAACAGGAAAGAACGGGAAAAGAAAGAAGAGAAGGGAGAAAGAGACAGAGAGAAAGAAGAAGTCTTGAGACGGTGAGCAGGAAGGTGTGTCGAACTGGTTTCAGACCTCTTTTGGGGCCGGTTATGGGGCTACCTAGTTCTTAAGACATCCAAAAAAAGGGGCTCAAAACAGATTGTACTTGAAACACATGCGGTCCGGAAAGATGAGCAGCGGTCCGGAAAAGCAAGCACTCAACAAGTACTCTAATTGTAGACATTGCGGCCCGGAAAGACATGCAGCGGTCCGGAAAAGCAAGCACCCAAAACGTACTCTAATTGTACACATTGTGGTCTGGAAAGACCTGCAGCGGTCTGGAAAAGCAAGCACCCAAAACGTACTCTAATTGTAGACATTGTGGTCCGGAAAGACCTGCAGCGGTCCGGAAAAGCAAGCACCCAAAAAGTACTCTAATTGTAGATATTGCGGTCCGGAAAGACGTGCAGCGGTCCGGAAAAGCAAGCACCCAAAACGTACTCTAATTGTACACATTGTGGTCCGGAAAGACCTGCAGCGGTCTGGAAAAGCAAGCACCCAAAACGTACTCTAATTGTAGACATTGTGGTCCGGAAAGACCTGCAGCGGTCCGGAAAAGCAAGCACCCAAAAAGTATTCTAATTGTAGACATTAGGACCGCTGCAGGTCTTTCCGGACCACAATGGCTACAATTAGAGTACGTTTTGGGTGCTTGCTTTTCCGGACCGCTGCATGTCTTTCCGGACCGTAATGTCTACAATTAGAGTGCGTTTTGGGTGCATTGCTTTTCCGGACCGCTGCACGTCTTTCCGGACCACAATATCTACAATTAGAGTACTTTTTGGGTGCTTGCTTTTCCGGACCGTTGCACGTCTTTCCGGACCGCATGTGTTTCAAGTACAATCTGTTTTGAGCCCCTTCTTTTGGATGTCTTAAGAACTAGGTAGCCCCATAACCGGCCCCAAAAGATGTCTGAAACCAGTTCGACGCATCTTCCTGCTCACCGTCTCAAGACTTCTTCTTTCTCTCTGTCTCTTTCTCCCTTCTCTTCTTTCTTTTCCCGTTTTTTCCTGTTTTTTCTCCAAAGCTGAGGTAGCCTACGGACAAAAAGGGTCTGAAACCACTCTGAAACACCCCGCTGCTCACCATTTACAACGCTCTCTCTCTCTCCTCTCCCTCTTCCTCTCTCTGTCTCTCTCTCTCTCTCGCCTTCTGTTTGTCTCCATCTTCCATCCTCCTCTCTCTCCTCTTCCTCTCTCTGTCTCTCTTTCTCTCTCTTTCTCTTTCTCTACCTTTTCTCTTTCTTTTTCATCTCCCAAAGCTGGGGGTACCCAAAAAACAAGCCCAAAAGAGGTCTGAAACCACTCTGAAACACCTTCCTGCTCACCATCTCCGGACTGCTGCTGCATGTCTTCCGGACCGCGTTGGCTGCTTTATCTCTATCTATCTATCTATCTATCTATTTATCTATCTATCTATCTATCTGCTCCTTTTTCTTTGGATGGCCTATTTACCACCCTGGTTATCTATGTTTATCAACTCGAGATATTAATATTTAAGATCTAAATCAGATACGGTGGTGGTAGTAGTAGTAGTAGTAGTAGTGGTAGTAGTAGTAGTAGTGGTAGTAGTAGTAGTAGTAGCAGTAGTAGTAATAGTAGGAGTAGTAGTAGTAGTGGTAGTGGTAGTGGTAGTGGTAGTGGTAGTAGTAGTAGTAGTAGTTGTAGTAGTAGTAGTAGTAGTAATAGTAGTGGTAATGTTGTAGTAGTAGTAGTAGTAGTAGTAGTGGTAGTAGTAGTAGTAGCAGTAGTAGTAATAGTAGTAGTAGTAGTAGTAGTGGTAATGTAGTAGTAGTAGTAGCAGTAGTAGTAGTAGTACTAGTAGTACTAGTAGTACTACTAGTACTACTAGTAGTAGTAGTAGTAGTAGTGGTGGTAGTAGTAGTAGTAGTAATAGTAGTAGGAATAGTAGGACTAGTAGTAGTAGTAGTAGTAGTAGTAGTAGTGGTAGTAGTAGTAGTAGTAGTGGTAGTAGTAGTAGTAGTGGTAGTAGTAGTAGTAGTAGCAGTAGTAGTAATAGTAGGAGTAGTAGTAGTAGTAGTAATAGTAGTAGTAGTAGTGGTAGTGGTAGTGGTAGTAGTAGTAGTCGTCGTCGTCGTGGTAGTAGTAGTAGTAGTAGTAGCAATCAAAATGTTAATTAAAAATAGTATTTGTAATAATGATAACAATAGTACTTGCGCGTACCTTGGGCCGCCCTTGCGCGAAACTTGCGCGATGCAGGTTTTAGACCATGGGAAAAATGCGAGAATAGGTCCTTCACTAAAAACCTTTCTGGGGTTTTTGGACGGCTCCCATATAGTTAAATATATACACCATTACCATGACAGTATAAGACTCAAACAAATTGAATCCACAAGCTGAAGGCCTTTCCTTGTCCCTTCCAAGCCTGCTTCAGTGCCATGGCTTTTGGCTTCAGAAGTGAAGCATGGTACATCGCCACCTGTGAAGCAATGGGCTTCCGGTCTGGATCCTGGGGAACCCAAATCCGGCTGCGCCTTCTCAAGCATACGGCACTCCGCCGGAAATGCCTTCTGCAGTCTCCTGAGGCAAAGCGTTTTAAAGCTGCAACGCGGCATTGTCATAGAACATCATAGAATCATTACTACATATTACTATATATATAATTATATATATAATTATATCAAATTCCATTTTGATATTCTGCAAATTTCTGCAAGAAAGTCTTCTGTCACGTGCTTGTCCTGAGGTTGGCAGGTGCCAGCTTCCAAATAATACAATCGGTCACTGCCTCTGTGCCACAGTCATCTGCAAAATCTGTGGACATACAAATGTCGGCCAACTTGTTCCAAACAAAGGAATGCCACATTGGATCAAACCAGGAGGAGTTCGCAAATAGATTCTATCAAACATTTGCAGTACAATCAGTCTCCAACGAAGCAATGACAAATTTGTACTGTGAACGAAAGGAACATGCTCTTTGCGACACTTTGATCTCAACAACAACCAACACCTATATAGGGACTTTAGGACATCCTACAGCATCCTATAATACTAAAACACCTTTCCTCCGTTTTTCTACAGGCCTGTGTAGTCGCAAAAATAGATTAAATGCACAACATGGAAGAAATTAAGAGGAAATGAAGCCTCAAGGAACATGCTTGAGACTGGGGGTTGACAAATGATCATCATCACCTGTAACACCCATCCTTGCAATGACTTGCGCCCCTTAGTTCCGCAAGCTTTCCCTGCTGAGTTTCGGCTTCTTTTTCGAGATCCCGTCTGAAACTCTTGGTAAAATATGGTAAAAGAAGTGAGGGTGAACTTCGTAGACATCACAACAGGTAACATGGTTTTGATGCAACTTCGACGATCTGTCACTTGTTACACTTGTTTCGCATCTTGCCTTCACAGGATGCCGGCTGATGTGCGGTGTGATCTGAGTTCCTAGGAGCTCAATCAAACACCACCAGGCAGCCCATGCTTGAGCACCTGGAAGAAGTCAAAGTGTTAATGCAAATGCTGACTTTTCTGGGTTTCCATGGTTTTCCAGGAACCTCAAGATCCTCAAGTCTCTATCGAAACCCAACAAGACTCATCAAGACCCATCAGCACCCTGGCAGCTAATAGTGCGAACCCTGGAGATAGACTTCAAAATATGCCAGAGAAATTCTAAAAAATCAGAGAATGCAAAATCCAGAACCTGGCTGTCATCCAACAAATCCAAAACCAAACCAATGCGGCACCTTTGGTGTGTGACAGTCTCAGAAAGCTTGACGTGGATGACCCAGAGTCCAAGACCTCATGGTGCAACGCTTGGCATTCCAATACCATACCCTGCACGTAAGGAGCGATTACCACATGCACAGCTACCTCCCGTTTTTTGGAATTCAGCTTGTGGCTTGAGTATTTATAGTTGGATGGTTTAGGAAACGGATGTAATTAGCTATATCAGTGTCACTTTGGAATCAGTTGCACCAATGCTGCAACATTTGAATTTGGTACAGTAAGTTCTATACTCCTTTCCAAATGTATCAGTATCCCCAAGCCAAGCAACATCTGCTTCCCCACGCCACACGCAGAATGCCCAATCCTTCCGCTTGCAACAGGGAGCTTCCAATGGTTCCAACACTGTTTGAGACACCGCATCTGGACACAACAAACAACACTGAGTTGTTGCTCATATTCCATATATTGAATGCATATTACTACACTACCACACCATGCGACCCCAACAGGTCCACTCATGTCGTTTCTAGTTGACAAACTTCTTCAATTGAGGAGGTAGTTTGGTGCCTGCAGCTCATATTCCTTGCAAATGGTGCTTCCAGCCTCAGGGATTTCTGACACTGGAATCTCCTACCATTGAATTCCCGCAAAGTCTAGCAGTTGCCTCCCAGTCTATCAAGTCCCACATAGTAAGGCTAAGCGCGCGGCAGAGAGAATTTGAATGTCAACTTCTTCCACCAGAGCTTCCTGAACTCAGCGTGATCAAAAGTCTTGCAGAGTGAATTTCGCAGAATCACACAATATCGCACAATGCCGTGCATTCCATGTATATTCGTGCACAGTATGATAATATGGTATATCATATCATATCACTAATTTTATCTATACTTACATAATCTTACATATACTTACATGCTGCGCCATGCTGACCATGCTGACCATGCTGACCATGCTGACCATGCTGACCATGCTGACCATGCTGACCATGCTGACCATGCTGACCATGCTGACGATGCTCCTTGAAGGCGGTGTGAGCATCAAAAAGACGAATTGGCACAATCCGTGTTGGCTCACCTGGGAGGCCGGCCATGCGAATGGCGTCACTGGACGCTGTCTCCAACACACAAAGGAGCCACAAGAAATGAAATGACATAGGCAAACATGTTGTTTTGACGAGATCGACACAAATGAAGCCGAGGTACTTGGAGACAGTGTGACTGCATGAAGCATATATATATACATCTGTATATATATATATACATACATATGTACATGTATATATATATACATACATACATACATACATATGTACATATATATACATATGTACATATATATATATATACATCTGTATATATATATACATATGTATATAGAATATACATTTAAAGAACTTGAACTGGATATTGACACAACATATCACAACGGATCACAAAGGCGCTGCATGCAAAAGGAAAAATAAGTTCATGCCACTCTGAGATCCTGCGAACATTAAATCTATCTAGATTTAGGAAGCGATGAATCGGAGGGGCTGCAAAGGCAATCCAACAGAGTCCTAACATCCTAAAACCATCCTAAACTGACTGGATTCGACATCATTCAACATCACTCAACGTCATGCAACATCATTCAACATATTCCAACATTCAAGTCCTCTTAATCTATCTCAATCTACAAAAATCAAACATTTTTAGATCATTTTCCAAGCTCCAATCTTTGCACTGAGGGACCAAGCTATAAAACGTCTTGAGGACTGACACAATGTCATCTTGTGCTCGCTGCTTCAAAACTCGCGCGTCTCCACGATGCCTCGGCAGGCATGGCTCAGGATGACAATCCCCTACTATTATCAAGATACTGGAACATTCCCTATACAAGACATACATATACAATATAATATAATATAATAAAAAGTAATATAATATAATAAAATATAATATAATATAATATAGTAATATAATATACTATAATATAGTAATATAATATAATATAATATAGTAATATAATATAAAATCATATAATAATATAATATAATATAATATACAGTAATATAATATAATATACAGTAATATAATATAATATAATACTAATATAAAACAATATAATATAATACAATAAAATATAATACAAAAAATATAATATAGTAATATAATATAATATAATACTAATATAATATAATATAGTAATATAATATAATATAATACTAATATAATATAATATAATAATATAATATACAGTAATATAATATAGTATAATAATATAATATAATATAATATGATATAATATAATATAATATAGTATAATAATATAATATAATAATATAATATAATATAATATAATATGATATAACAATTTAATATAATAATATAATATAATATATAACAAGAAATAAAATATAGTATAATAATATAATATAATATAATATAATATAATAATATAAAAATATAATATACAGTAATATAATATAGTATAATAATATAATATAATATAATAATATAATATAATATACAGTAATATAATCGGCCAAACACCTTGATTTGCCCGCGCTTGTCCGCGGCCATCTTCGTATGTGCTGAAGACGTGGTAAAAATGGGATTTTTTTGCATCATGGCTAACTTCATGTTCTATATCGGCACGCACAGCATAGGGACCTGTGCGAGTCTCTTACACCACATCATCATCATCATCATCATCACCATCATCAAACCCTTATTGAAGATCTTCAATGGATGTAGAAGTTTAACGGGGCTGGGAGAATTAAACCCTTATTGAAGATCTTCAATGAATGTAGAAGTTTAACGGGGTTGGGAGAATTAAACCCTTATTGAAGATCTTCAATGAATGTAGAAGTTTAGCGGGGGTGGGAGAATTAAACCTTTATTGAAGATCTTGAAGTTTAACGGGGTTGGGAGAATTAAACCCTTATTGAAGATCTTCAATGAATGTAGAAGTTTAGCGGGGGTGGGAGAATTAAACCCTTATTGAAGATCTTCAATGAATGTAGAAGTTTAGCGGGGGTGGGAGAATTAAACCCTTATTGAAGATCTTCAATGAATGTAGAAGTTTAGCGGGGGTGGGAGAATTAAACCTTTATTGAAGATCTTGAATGAATGTAGAAGTTTAACGGGGGTGGGAGAATTACACCCTTATTGAAGATCTTCAATGAATGTAAAGTTCAACGGGGGTGGGAAATTTATATTCCCTAAATACCCTTGTTGATCTTCCCAATTGAATGTAAAGTCTAACGTTTGATATCCCCAAGTGTACAGCATAGAAGGGGTGTGGGCGAATCGGGGTGTTTGCGCGTAATATAATATAATATAATAATATAATATAATATAATAATATAATATATATATATAATGCAATATAATATAATATAATATAGTATAGTATAGTATAATACAATAAGTGTCAGATAGTATAATCCCTTACAATCATCAATCATCAACCAACAGGGCTGAACACTGCTCAATCGAAGCTAGAAACGCACTTCTGTTCCGATCCATCATCTGCAGCCATCACCGGGACACCCTACGCATCCTTCTGCAACAACTTTTGCACCTCGCAGCTGGCTCAGGAAAACATGATGACATGATGTTCATCAAAGACAATCAGGGACAACCCATTGAGATGTCCTTTCCAACACAGAATAATGTTCACCAATGTCCACAATCTCGTTAAATATGAAGTCTATAAAGCCTATGAAATAGCAGCAAAGAGCTTTCTTTTCACATCAAGTGCTATATGCATGTCTTGCTGACATACCTTCACAACTTGTTCAGTTTGGATTAGATTGGCCAACTGCTTCCCACAGGACAAGGTTGTTGAGGCTGCCGACCACTTTGCGTGGAATCACCCAAAGCCTCAACATTCGGACTCTGGCACATAGCACATGCCCACAAGTGGTATGCTGGAGATGTTATAAACTGTCAACAATCTCTGCACATCTTTCACGATATGTTAGAGGTGACCAAGCAAACAAATAATGTTTGGCTGCATTTCGAAGAAGACTCTGGCTGGACTATGAAGGAAGGCACAGTCTTTTATCACTGGGAACATGACGGGTGGAATCTTGATGAATCTTATCCTTTGACTTAGAAGCATGCTCCCGCCACAAAATGAAGTAACGCAGTACTTCCTAATCAACAGGAACAGAGACGATGTGAAACATCATGTCAAGGGTGTCCAAAACAAAAGGATGTCAAAGGCTGAGGACTGCTTTGCTTCCAGATTCCAGATTATACTTCCTTTGGTTGTTCTCACATCTGCTCCATAAGGCTCCATACCTGTGTAGTGCTTACTATTTGGAATGTCAACTGTTTGCCTCTTGTAGACAAGGGATCTTGCAGGAGAAGATGCTTCAGTGCCTTGTGTTGGACGGACATTTCTATGATCCCTTGCCGCATTGATTTTGTAGCGTTGTCTTTTTTCTGCAGTTGTCCAGCTGCTCCAAACCTGTTCCAATATATACCCTTCAACAAAAAAAATGTGCCACGTCATGTTCCCTTGCCCTGGGCATCCCTTGCGAATTCACTGATCCTGTTGTCAAACGTGAGCCGAAAATAAACCTGACAGGAGCCGTGTTGCATTGTGAATCTTGCTATCAACATGAAACAGGGACAACTATAAGTATTACTACGCTTCACCACAATGGTAGAAAGCATCAAATGAGCCGAAACAACCAGCCTTTTCGTCACCCCGAACACAACCTCTTGGCCGAAGACCGCATTTCCACCTGAGCTCAAAACATTCAGCCGGGCAAAAGCAAAGCGCTGATCAGATCTCAATAACAGTGATTTTACTACAGAAAGGAACTTATACCTGGAATATTCAAGTCTGAAGTACCAGCAGTAAGTGCCCTTGCCAGATTGGAAAAAACACTGGAGAATGTTTCATCATGTTTCATCGTCGTTCCACTATGGCAGATTATGGTAGGCCCCCTTTCCACACAGCGTCCCATTAGTCCTTGGATGGCTAAGATGCTGACTTAAAGTGGAGATTCTGCGTCCATCGAAGGTCAACTGAGACAGCTGGTGCACAACACAAGATGAGGGACTCAAGCGTCCATAGGCTTATAGCCTTCACCAAGTAGAAGGCCAAAACAAGTAATTTTCGCTGGCAAGTTGATCAAAAGGATCAAGCAGCTGTCGTTCATGAGTAAGTTGCGATCATGAGTCATGGCATTCGCTTCTCTTTCCAACAGCTTGGACCTGCTATATAATATAAATAATTATATATATATATATTATAATATATTATATGTATGACCCTTTTCCATACCATCTGTTCATCTGTTCAACCAACGTCTGCTGCTCCCGTTGCTGCACTTCAGTGCCTCCAGAGTGGTGTGACCATCAGGTGGCGTCACAAAAAGGTAATCCATGCCTCAGTGATGCAATGGTTGCCCAAAAAAAAACACAGGTCCAGCTGATCGAGAATCAACAGTCTTTTCAACTGTCAACCCCAATTTTTGGCCAGATTGTTGGTCGAGCCATATCCCCATTTCCTAGTTAAGTCATGTTAACTCCACTAATTTCTTTTCATGGACAATTACCAATTTTCATCAGTTTAAATCCAACAATGTTCATAAGAAACTGCATTTTTGCATTTTGTCCAGGAAAATTACAATTTTCCTAGGGAAATGACCACTTTTCCTATAGGGAAATTCGCCATTGCGCGCACGCCAACGCTTCCGCCAAAGCTCCGTTTGTCTCTGGCTCTGCGTTCTGCTCCACCACAGTAACCTCGGGGGGGATTGGACACCACAGAAGACCCAGGGTTTCCGCAGAAATTAAGAAATTTTAATGGAAAAGGAAAGTCCACCACATAATCAGTATATTATATATATAATTACATAATAAATAGTATGTATATTATATTGTATTGTATTGTATTGTATTATATTATATTATATTAATATGTGTAATTTATGTGTATATACTTACAGCATCATAACTACAATCACCTGTACAATGAGGATATGATATAATCGCTCGTACCACCTTTGCGCCTGAAATCAGTGCTGTCATCAAGCTGCCTCTGGGGTTCCCCTGCCGGATCTGGTGGACAACTTGGATGCACCAGTTGCGGTGCCAAACGTTCTCGGAGGGACCTTAGCTTTGATCCTTCATGGCCTTCATGGCTTGGAGACCAAGAATTTCTGGAGGCAAAAGTGTTGCAAAGTGCTGACAAAAATATACCAAAATGTTGTGAGACATGTGTTTTAATCAAAGAAGCAAAGAACACTCGCGTATGGCCCCTTTGGAATGAACCATAATGACTAATAAACCTTTGTCTATTTTGTCTTACAAGATAGACTCAGCCCTTCTGCTTGGCATACTAAATTCATTTCAAGGGAGGGGTGGCGGCTCAAACCCGCACTCTCAGGTCAGGGCGTACTTAAATCTTGGAAAAATGGGTGTTGCTGCAAGAAGTACAGCCTGACCTCGAGAAGGCTTCGAGAAGGCTTCGAGAAGGCTGTTAGAAAAGCGGTCCAATAGCAGAAAGGATACAGATATCGATTCGATTTCGAGCTGGTCGAAGCTCTATGGTGTTAGCTTTGGACAGCACGACCTCAAGCAAAAGGAGAAACGTCTAATACACAAATGAGCCAGACCTAGAGCCAAACTCCGGCTAGGTCATCCATGCTTGGGATGTTGTATCTTACTTGCCAGTCCGCAAGACATAGCAAGACTGCGACAAAGCTAAGGGATCATTCACATCTTCTTTAGGAGCTACCTGTCATTTTTTTACCTTTTGATTTCTGGTTCCTCTGAACATTTCTAAACCACTGTGGCATGCAGTATTACTCCTAGCCCAGGGACCATTTTCTAACTATCCCAACCTGCGGATCATCTAAGCGATGGAAGCGTGTAGCTGGGTCGCGAATCTTGTCCTTAGAGAAGCAGCGACATCATGCTTGCAATGCGAAGCTTCCACAAAAGGTAAACATCCTGCTGTTCACTTGCCCCTGGAAGGAAACAAGTGTAGGCAAGAAAGTGTATTCTGCCATCTTGGTGCGCGACTCCGGCTTCTTTGCGCCTCAGGGTTGTGATTCATTGGCCAGTAAGAAACTGTAACAGTGTTTTATATGTTGATTATGTTGTACGGTAGCACATCTCACTTTTGCGCCTCTTTGCTATTCTGTTGAAAATTAGATGGATGAAATGTGTTTGCATTTCTTGAGATGAAGAGTGACGCCGCTCTCTGGCCTGCCTGATAGTGTGGTGAATCTCTGAGCAATGAAACCATCCATTGAACCGTTTGAATGGCAAACAAAAATGAACCAAGTTGTATTACAAAGAAGATCAGCTGGAGTTTTTTTCCTTCCGGGGTTGTTTTGCGGCATCAGGTGGCGATATACTCCCAAGTCGAGCTAGGCGAACTGGCTGGTTGCCTTTTAACCTCAGTGGCATTCAAGGGCTGCGGATACAATGTCATACACAAATACGACCGATACAAGAAGCACTGATACCCTTTATAATGTATATCTATATATATATATTATATAATGTATATCTGAATCTCTATATATATATCATACTGTATATATATATAGTTCTATATATATATCATACTGTATATATATATATATACTGTATATCTATATATATATATACGTGTATATATATATAATTATATACATAATATGGTGTGTAGTTTTCCGAATACAGTCTTCAAGTGGCTGAGACCTCCTTTCGAAATACCAAGGCATTATTAAGGTATCCGGAGTAGTGCCCTTTCCGTATTGCCATGAGTATGTTTGTGCTGTTTGGAACACGAAACAGCACCTCAATAGCTCAGCACATGCATCTCCATGTCCATGCAGTCCCAGGCGATCCGGACGATGATCGCCGTCTGGCATTTGTAGTTACCTGACTGCATCCAAAAGTAGGCTGGGCACGTACAGTTTCTCTCAGAAAATCAAATCAACCTCCGTTGCATCTTTCTGAATCCAAAAGGAACTTCCATCCGAGGCCAAGGAGAAACAATCCACTGGAACTCCCTCCAACAGCCACCCAATTTCAAGTAACATCAAGTATACATGCATGTAATCCCACTGGAACTACTGTATCTCAGTGAAATCCGCCGACCCCGGCCTTGGCCAAGGCAGGGGCGGCGCCTGGGACCACCGCAGGTGTGGAACTTCCCCTTCTTCGCTTTCCAAGGTCAAACCCATCTCGCAGCCAGCAAGCTGCCCCAAGGCCACATCGCGTAAACATTTTCCTGGCATGCTTCGTCCTCCAGTTAAGACTTCCAGGCATTTGGACATGAAAATTACATTCTTTGGAGAACCCTTAAAACGCTGACTTGGCATGCTTCATCCTGCAGCCAACAGCCACCCCGAGGCCACACATCAATGGCTTCTTATGGGCCGCTTAAACAATCCTTTGGCATGCTTCATCCTGCAGCCAACAGGCACCCCAAGGCCACACATCAATGGCTTCTTATGGCGTCCAAGCCTGCCGTTTGCCAGCCCTTAAACCCTCCAAACCCTCCAAACCCTCCAAACCCTTAAAAACCTTAAAACCCTTAAAACGCTGGCTTGGCATGCTTCATCCTGCAGCCAACAGCCACCCCGAGGCCACACATCAATGGCTTCTTATGGGCCGCTTAAACAATCCCTTGGCATGCTTCATCCTGCAGCCAACAGGCACCCCAAGGCCACACATCAATGGCTTCTTATGGGCGTCCAAGCCTGCCGTTTGCCAGCCCTTAAACCCTTAAAACCCTCCAAACCCTTAAAACCCTGACTTGGCATGCTTCATTCTGCAGCCAACAGCCACCCCGAGGCCACACATCAATGGCTTCTTATGGGCCGCTTAAACAATCCCTTGGCATGCTTCATCCTGCAGCCAACAGGCACCCCAAGGCCACACATCAATGGCTTCTTATGAGCGTCCAAGCCTGCCGTTTGCCAGCCGTTAAACCCTCCAAACCCTCCAAACCCTCCAAACCCTCCAAACCCTTAAAAACCTTAAAACCCTTAAAACGCTGACTTGGCATGCTTCATCCTGCAGCCAACAGCCACCCCGAGGCCACACATCAATGGCTTCTTATGGGCCGCTTAAACAATCCTTTGCATGCTTCATCCTGCAGCCAACAGGCACCCCAAGGCCACACATCAATGGCTTCTTATGGGCGTCCAAGCCTGCCGTTTGCCAGCCCTTAAACCCTCCAAACCCTCCAAACCCTCCAAACCCTTAAAAACCTTAAAAACCTTAAAACCCTTAAAACGCTGACTTGGCATGCTTCATCCTGCAGCCAACAGCCACCCCGAGGCCACACATCAATGGCTTCTTATGGGCCGCTTAAACAATCCCTTGGCATGCTTCATCCTGCAGCCAACAGGCACCCCAAGGCCACATATCAATCGCTTCTTATGGGCGTCCAAGCCTGCCGTTTGCCAGCCCTTAAACCCTCCAAACCCTCCAAACCCTTAAAAACCTTAAAACCCTTGCAACGCTGACTTGGCATGCTTCATCCTGCAGCCAACAGCCACCCCGAGGCCACACATCAATAGCTTCTTATGGGCCGCTTAAACAATCCCTTGGCATGCTTCATCCTGCAGCCAACAGGCACCCCAAGGCCACACATCAATGGCTTCTTATGGGCGTCCAAGCCTGCCGTTTGCCAGCCCTTAAACCCTCCAAACCCTCCAAACCCTTAAAACCTTAAAACCCTTAAAACGCTGACTTGGCATGCTTCATCCTGCAGCCAACAGCCACCCCGAGGCCACACATCAATGGCTTCTTATGGGCCGCTTAAACAATCCTTTGGCATGCTTCATCCTGCAGCCAACAGGCACCCCAAGGCCACATATCAATCGCTTCTTATGGGCGTCCAAGCCTGCCGTTTGCCAGCCCTTAAACCCTCCAAACCCTCCAAACCCTTAAAAACCTTAAAACCCTTGCAACGCTGACTTGGCATGCTTCATCCTGCAGCCAACAGCCACCCCGAGGCCACACATCAATGGCTTCTTATGGGCCGCTTAAACAATCCCTTGGCATGCTTCATCCTGCAGCCAACAGGCACCCCAAGGCCACACATCAATGAACCGCTGATGCCGTCGGATGCCGTCGGAGTATCTATCTCTCCCTCTCTATCTATCTATCTCTCCCTCTCTATCTTTCTCTCCCCCTCTATCTATCTCTCCCTCTCTATCTATCTATCCATCTATCTATCTATCCATCCAGCTATCTATCCATCTATCTCTCCATCTACCTATCTGTCTATCCAACTGTCTATCTATCTATCTGTCTATCTCTCTCTCTCTCTCTCTTTCTCTCTCTCTATCTCTCTACCTATCTATCCATCCATCCATCCATCCATCCATCCGTCCATCCATCTATCTATCTCTCTCCCTCTCTCTGCAGGACCCCCCAAATAGGGGGGGTCGGCGGCACCCGGGCGCTAGCCCATTCTATAATTAGTATTATTTATAGATATTAATAGTATAAACCTTTTGGTTTGCTTGTTTCATCCAGTAAAAAAGAAGCACAGCCTATCGTTCGGGATTTTGAGGGTTTTCGGGCTATGTAAAGTCGTCGCTGGCACCTTATGCGGAAGGACCACCGCTCGGCCTCGAAAGGACCTGATGCCCGTGAGAGTTTCAAGGTGATGTCACAAAAGGCGCCGCATCGCCGACAAACTGAAGGAACCATGCACTATTTAAGGGTGTATCTCCTGCTTTTCTGCGCCCAGCAATTGTGAAGTCTCAATTGCGTTTTCTGTCTGTGTTCACTATTCACTAGTCACTCCCAGGAAAGCGTTGTAGTGCAAAATAGAAACATCTTGCTTGGTGATCCGGTATCGGCGCATTCCATACCCCACTATGCTACACCCTGCTGCATCCGACTGCTTCAAGATACATAAGCAAAATTCAATAGAAACACAATGCTGGCAGCCGCCGCTGTCTCCACTGTACCACAACAAGGACGAAGACAATACGAAAAATGACGAGAATATGCTTGACTACGGATGGAAAAACATGGACACAAAACGTGTGATCATGTGTGATCAGAATATATCAGATTCATATTTCATCATATTTCATCATATTTCTATATACAGTATTTCTTTTGTTCTCAACATTTCTCAACCGAAGCAATCAAGAACCACCGTTGTTGGAAGAATGAGACAACGGCAGCTTCAGGATTCCGGGCTCCACGATCAGAGATGACAGGGATTCAGGCACCGTTGGAGCTCTGGAGTTCACCTGCGACCAGTTCCCCTGCACATCTCCACCTGACATGGATGGACACAATCCTTTACCAGTTGGATCCAGTTGGTAGGGCAAAATATGGCAAAATCCCATTACTATCCCATTTTTCATAGCTCGGCGTCAATGAATTGATGCCAAGATGCCGCTGGGATGTCACTCTCCATCGTGATCACAAAATGCAAACCATTTCCTTGAGGGGTTCATTCTTGGTTCGTCATACTATGTCATACTTCATCAATGTCCAACCCTGGAGATCCTCCAAGTCCGCCTTACACTTTAGATTCTGTTCCACGGAAACATGTTTGAAGTCCCTTGGTTCAGCCTGTTTGTAACTGTTTGGAAAGGTCATGCTGAGTCATTTTCATGTTTATTCTTCAACGTCTGCGAATATAGAGGAAATGCCGAAGCCTTGACAGTTTTATGGTCTCCAGTGGCTGCTCTCCAAAGCCGGGCTGCAATACAATCACCACAATAATTTATGATAATTTGAACTAGGACCCTGGCATCTCTCATGGCAATGGCAAGCAGCCAGAGACATTAGCTTGCTAAAGGCCAACATTTACCAAACACTTTCCTGTGACTGTTCAGAGCAGCGCCGACACAAACACTATGTTCGATACATACACACCACATATGATGTGCATACTACCCACATACATGTACGTACTTATATATATATGCATAGTATATAGTATTTTCCATTATTTTCCCTTCTGACATATTGAGAAAGCAGTCAATGTAATTTGTTAAGCCTATCAATGCCTTTTTTTCTGGCATGCTCTTGCACATCACGAGCTAGTCAGCTAGTCGTCCACTACACAAGCGAGACATATCCATGTGGTCTATGCCATTCTGAACTGCATTTTCAAGCAGCTACTTATCGAGTTGAGAATTTATTGGGCCCCCCCATTTGGGCAGCTGCGAGCCAACGTTTGAGAGCATCCAGCCACTTGGTCACGGGAGGTTGGCAAAGATGGAAGTCTCTCAAGACTCAGAGTCTGTCAAAGTCTGATGAAGAATCTAGAATCTAGCAGGTGAACCACCAGTTCTCTGCTTGATGCGGTTGTAGCCTTGCATCAAAAGTCCTTAAGAAGAACATTTAGAGCAGGGTCGCTACAAGCGTTCCACAGCACAATGTAGTCTGCAAATTTATTGAAACACAGCTGCTGAAAGACTCGAAAGCTTGTCCTTTGGACAAGTCGGCCACAACAAACAGTTTTCCAAAGGCTTCAAGCCCTTTGGTATATCCCAGAGTCAAGGACCCCCAGCCCAAACTCCTGGGAACGGAACAGATTTGGTGGCCCCCAGCTCTGGGATACACTCAAATGCAGAGGTTGATTTTAACAAACTCTGCAGTGCTCAGGACCATGTCCAAGAAAAGAATGGATAAGAATCATAGAGAACATGTGCTAAGAGATTTCATCTGCATCCTGCATGCGATTACTCATCTCATATTACAGTACCTGTACTACACTCATCCTCAAGACATACAATATCATACAATATCATACAAGACAAAAAGACTCAGAGTCAAAGTGTTCAACTGATACAGGCCTTCCGGGGCATGATCTGCCAGCATGAAGAGCAGCTAAACCCCTGTCAAATCAAATAACATGTTGAGCTGAGGATGAGAAATGCTGTCTGCACTAACAGGAAGGTCCTGTGCCAGATCGGTGATACCGATTCTTACAGCAGCCTCTGCTTGTCCTATCTTTGCGGTTGCTAGTGCAAAATACTCTCTGAATGCTAGTGTATTTACCACTAGTTAATGCATTTTCAGAATGCAATCACGGTCTTTCTCAGTAGAGTGGTGCAAGAAGAATTAGAGGAACAACAACTCTGGTATGAATTGGACAAGCAAACGAACTGCAAACCTACCACCCTCGGCAAAAAGTTGCGGAATCAACATGCTCAGTCTACATACAAGTCTACAGAAAAACATATCTATTTGCCTGACGCTCCTGTTTTCTTTGGCTTCATGGCGTACATTAGGAACATGAACAAGCAACAAGGGATACTCCTGTGGAGGCAACAAGGAGCAGCATTCCAAGTATATAGAACATTTTTCTTGTCTGTTCATTCATATAGTTCATATGTTTTGTTTCACGTAATTGAAATCCTAGTTGAAACGCATACCGGAGTAAACATAAGGCCATGATCAGAGTCATGGGTGAATTCGCTGAGGGAAGTTAATTATTGTCAATTACTCTCACGGACCTCTTGCTTTGTATGTAGCGGACTGGGGTCTTGTTCGCCTGGCTGATTTTGCAACAGCTGCAGCTGGCGGGACGTGACGACTCCTCGGCGCATTCTTTAAGTTCTGGAACATTCACATTGTGTTTTTGTTGCAGGGGTTAGCCGCGCTTGGCCTTTGGGCTGCTTGTGCCGTTCCATCGGCACAATCCAGACGCGGCAAACTCCTTGCAACTGGCTGGAGCTCAACTGCACTTCTACCAACCCTGTGCTTCTGTCAAATGTTTCTATGCTCGAGCTGTTGAACTCAAGAAACGAATCCATCAATGTCTGACTTCAATGGCCAGCTCTGAAACCATTTGACACACTCCGCGACACGTCTAGTAGCAAATGCTGTGAATATGAAGTACTTGTTTCCTACACAGAAACTACCTGGATAGCATTCCACTTGCGTCATTCACCGTTCAAAACAATTTAAACATATTTAAACATATTTAGACAACAGTGTGTATGTCTCTGTGTGTCCCTCTGTACCTTTCGCCTGTTTGTCTCTGTCTGTCAGGCCAATATTCCACGTCGTGTCACAGCAGTGACTTCTTCCAAAAGATCACCATGATATCTGTTGATTTGAACATATCATCTCATCTAATTGTCAATACATTGTATACTTGTGATAAAACAACTACAGCTGACCAAGAGTCTACAACCGGAATCATGCTGTTTGCATCCGCCACGCTGAGTGCAAAAGAGTCCTGACTTGCTCCATTTCTTCTGGCATCTGTCCTGGGAATGCATGAAGATTGCCACCGTGCCCCAATCAAAACATCGTCCATGTTGCACTGACCTTACCCAAGAGTCTGTTGCTAATACTCATCCTCATCCTCATCCTCATTATCATCATCATCATCATCATCATCATCATACCAATACTTGGACAAAAGAATAGTGTGTCGTGACCTTTGCGTCGTCGTTCATTGATCATTTCTGAACTCTTTTTGAATGAGTTTAATCAGTGCCCCTTACATAGCTTCTTTAGATGGGGATGGATCAACACTTTTTGTTGGTGGGGATGAACATCCATTTACCCGCTATCTTGCTGTTGACCACCAGGTTTAGTGACCATCAATTTTTCTGGCTGTTGATCCACTGACCATGAGGATGCCGCAAATTTAGGCACCCGTGCGGACTGATCTCCCAGCACTTGCAGGCCGCGACATGGACAGCGAGAGCGGGTCTGATGCAGATTGAGACGTCACCTGCTGCCGTGGAAGCAAAAACCATACCTTTGAATGGAGTTACCCTCTGGAACCAAACCTGGTAACAGGAAATCCTGAATTCGTCTCCTTTTGAAGTTGATGTAACTCCATGTAACTCCTTTCAGAGGGGTTTTGACCCACCTGCCAGTGTTCTAACCCAAGATCCCAGGGAAAGTCGCAGTGATAAGGAAATACCCCGTTGCAATCAAGCCACCCTATGCAAGAGGAACACATTTACAAATTGGGAGTTTCCATTTCAATGTTTGATTACCAGAGAGTCATAGTTTTGAATTGGTGTTGTATGGAACCTCTAGGTACGTGGTTATTCAACCCCCCAACATACTGATTGGTCTAAACCACTTCTTGATAGTACAGTACTCAGTAGACAGGGACATGAAGAGAAGATGTCGAAGACATTGTGCACTGCAACCACTCTGGCGATATACTTGTCATCTAGATTTGTATATATAGTATATATGCATACCACGTGTATTTTACCCAGGCTTAATACTGTGTATATCGAATCGAAGCTTGAAAAGCCAACTCCTTTACCATAAGGGAGGGACGCCATGGGTTGTGTTGGTGGCTGGTGGCAGGATTCGGTTTCACATGAACATGGCTGAGATGGGAATGGATCAGTACGAGATCCATGGTGACATATCTGACATGTCTTTGTAGCATGTCATCAGGCGAGTCCACAATTTCAGAGTCTCAAACGTTTCTTCACACAAGCATATCATAGCATATCATACCGCATTATTGTTTCACTGTATTTTCTCTAATCCGTTATCCGGCCCATGTCATATTCATGTATATTTATCTTGGCGGGATATAAAATACATTGCAATACATTGCAATATTACATCATATTACTATATATTACTTCCACTGCAACTACTTGACATTGTGCCATAAATGCACCCTGTTGATGTTCTGTGCCTTGACGAATAGATTTAATTTTCCTTGGTGACATGACCAGCTTTGGTTCTAGTGACTCTAGTGACCCAACTTCCCAGTGCCCGAAGATGCACCTTGCGACAAGACCTGAAGGACAAGCAAACCAAAGGACTTTCTGGCAGGGATGGCAGAGAAGTGTTACGAGATCATGAAAGAATCCACTAAATGTATCCAAATGTAGAATGTTCCGTGAAAATGACGAGCCCTTCAGAGCATGCAAGTACAGGTAGGTGTGGCTTCGAACGAATCCTGTGGTTGCGGTACTGCTTTGAATCAACCCTGGTACAGGGACAGGGTACAATGGACAGACTTTCAGCGTATCCTTCGGAGAGCCTCCTTGAAATCATTCTGGCGAAGGGCTTGCTTAATTAGCATCCTACTGTATGAATCATGAATCATGTCTTTGGCTCCGCTTTATCAATTTTAGATCGTCAAAACAACAGAAGTCTTGGCATTTGACATGTAAATATAACCTCTTAATTGAATTTGCTCCAAATATTCAGTTTAAATGGCATGCATGTACGGCACACGCAATGAGGCTTCCAAGTGCCCCAACCCATCGATGCTTTGCATCTTAAGCTTGTTCTGCATCTGGACTTTCATTGCCTTTCAGAAGAGATTGAAATACTGGAAATACAGTACAGCAAATGATGACATTGGAATTCAAAAGGATGTGTGACTAAGGGGCGTCAGAACTCTTTTAGCGACACGCGTTGCTAAAGGGGTCGGCCAATGGTTGGCGATCTCCTTGAAAAACCACCCTAATGTGACTGGAGATTCTGCCACAGTTCCTCTAGCTTTATATGCATATACACCATGTATATATACATATATATATATATATACAATATACTACATATATACAGTATATGTATGTATCCTTTGGATTCCATTGGTATTCTGATTCATCAGCAACTCATCTCTTCTCCGGATCAGAATCCGAGTATCCAGTTTCGGTCTGAAATTATGGATCGCCCATAGCATCTCCCTGAGCCTGCCGTGTTGCCAGTAACTGATCCAGGGCGCTCCTGAGGCAACAAAGAGATGCGTGAGGCGGAAGATAGATACGATACATGTAGAATTACATTGTATATAAATAATAATACAAACATTAAACAACATAATTACATACGCATCCATTATATTATATATGTATATATACTATATTGTATCGATGATATCTTTCCTGCTTGATATCGGACTCTGTTGATGTTGTACCGGTGCAGTGCGACCCGCCACTTGGCACCAATAGAAACAACGGGTGGAAATCCTAAGTGGGTTTGTCTGAAAATATGGCATCCCACAGAATCCACTGGTCTATCATCACTAGTCATCACTAGTCATCACTTTCTTTCACTTTCCCTATTACTCTAAAATATGTTGACGTATGTTGACGTGACCACTTGGATGGGGGCCCATGTTCAAAGAGATCCATTCCATCACTTGCGCCGAAACCACGCTCCTGGTGCTGTCCAACTTCGCTGCCTGTGTTGGAAGCTCAATGGGAAGCCAGGGCTGAGGCCCAACATTTTTCAATGATCCAAAAAGTGTTCATCATAATCCATCAATGAACTAATGATAATCTGATCTATTTTTCAATCATTGGCCCATAGGCCCAAAATGGCCCAAAATCCTCCGGCCTTTGCGAGGTTTTCTTTGCCCAAGCAGCGCTTTTCACTCTTTGCCAGAGATCTTTCTGCAATCGCGATGGTGTAGTCCACCTGGTCATAGCGCACTGCACTCCATCTGGATATCTTTTCAAACAAATCGAGGTCTAGAATGGTTTTTGCATGTTTTCCCTACTGATTTATCTGATTTGTTATCAAGGCTTCTTTACCATTGTGTGAAGCAAACCTTAAGTATCTTACGTGAGGCGATACGGAAATAAAACTACCAAACGACTCTCCGAAGGTTGGCCTCTCGTCCAAACATTCTGACAGGACAGCTGACCCAGTTCAACATGAACTGAACGTCAAACGTCCCTAAAGCTTAAGGAAAATATTGTTTGTGAGAGCCTCGAAGAGAAATCTCTACTTATCAAGTCTGAATGTTGTTAATTCATATCAAATCTAATTAAACGTATTGTTAAAATGTATTAAATTAACATTACTCGAAGCTTTCGAGAGAACACACCTTCTCCCCACTGCGGCCTCACTGGCATGTTCCCGCAAGAGTTTTGCAGCTTTTTCGGTTTCCAGCAGCCTGGCACAGAGGTAAGGCATCCAATCTGCCTTCTGGACCTTCTTGAATCACAACATGAGTCAAACAGCTCATTCCCTGCAGACATTCAACACAAGTCCTTCTGGGAAGTAGGAACCCGGCCCTGAAAGTCATACTATGAACAGCTTCGGGCGGCTTCAGTATCTTTCATGTGCATCAACATTTTACGGCTTGGAAGAACAGTGAAGAAGAACTGACATATGATGGACACTGGATTTGCAGCAGCAACATGTCAAAATATCCTTCGACCCCATTCTTTTGGTGGAACCCGGGGAACATGGCTGTTTACTACCCAGCCTGCGCTCCAAAAGAAGCTCGGCTCTCTGTCGCAAACGTGAACAATTCTGATCTGTGCTTTGGATAGATTTGCTACCTCACGTGCAGCACTGCCACTCTGTAAGAAGGCTGATGCTCAGTGGTTTCATGGCCTCAAAATTAATTTACAAACGATAGGCCAGAACTTTCAGGATGCTTCAAAAATCATTCACAATACAGGTGTGCCTGAAGTGAACTCCCAAATGGCAAATTTGGTAGAGAAAATGATGACAAACCACTGGATTTAGGGGTTTTCTCAGACAAATCCAAATCATATACACATACATATACATACATATACACATATCTATACATATCTATACATATCTATACATATCTATACATATCTATACATATCTATACATATCTATACATATCTATACATATCTATACATATCTATACATATCTATACATATCTATACATATCTAAATAAGTAAATAAGTAAGCAAGTAAATGTATATATATATATACATATGTATATATATATATATATACACTGTATATACATTACACATAGATCTATATCCAATCGTATCCCCATCAAATCTCATTGAATCCCACTGGGCACCACTGGGCTCCAGTTCTCTGCGCTTCCCGGCTTCGCGACAACAAATCCTTTGCAGCCAGCAGTAGATGATCGGCCCTCGGCAGCAGGTCTTCATTGGCCGGAGGCACTTCCACTTCTGGCGCGATGGCAATGCTGCGCTGCGACTTGAACACACATGGGTTTGTTTGAAAATGGCGGATACCCCATAAAATGGCAATTTAATCGGACAAATGATGATTAACCATGGAATGGAATGGGGTTTTCCTGGCATGTTCACACAAACCCAATTGTTTTTTCTTGGTTCTTGCAGAATTCTGTCTGTCGGCCTAAATTTGTAGAGTAATCTTACAAAAGGTATAGAATGGTGAGAGAAAAGCAAAACCAAAAGACCAAACAGGGCTAGATTCTAGGAAAACTACGTTGAAAAAGGCAAGAAAGGGGCACCATATATGCTGGCAATGGCTAGCATAGATGTGGCTACATAATTTACGGTACATACATATCTGGATAATTGACAAGGGCTGCCCCATCCTCCAATCCATCCTAGCCATTAGAAATTGCAGCACCTGGCTCCGAAACCCAGTTTTCGGCGTTGACGTCTCTCAATATGAGATCTTCATCACTCATACTGTCATACTCATGTCAGTAAATTCTAGATTTTATCAGGTGTCCAAGTTTTGGGGTCCAGTTCAGGAATACACCAATTAGTAACGCAACACTAGATGTTTTTGAGGTGGTTTGACCTTTTTTGGCTGAAATTTGGAGATTGTTGGGGCGTGCAGTAAACCTAGAATTAGCTTGGTCAGAATTCCAGGAAATAAAATTAGGTTAAATTGAGGTTAAATTTGTATTATTGTGCTATTAATTTTGCCTCAAACTTTGGCCCCTGGTTTTGGTACCCTTCCCAGCCTTCAATTTAGTTCTGAAAAAGCCTGACAAAGCAAGGTTCAGTTTGCTTTTTGCGCATTACATTAACCCTTATCTTTGCTAAATTGGCCGTAAATTCATGTTAAAATTATCTTAGGTTGAGGTCGCGTAAAAAAGGCAAATTTAATTTCCTGCTTTTTTTCCTGGCCATGATTTCCATGATATATGCTATACACGAATAATATACAATATATATAATGAATAATATAATATTTATTTATTTATTTATTTATTTATTACTGTATATACTATACAACCACTGACAACCACCTTCCAATTCCCCCACACCCCACAGGCCACACCATGATGGGGCTGTGGTTGGGGGGAATACTGACAAGAAAACATCAGAAACACCATGACCATCCACTGCACCAAAATAAAGCCATCTTGAGCCACTTTTTCTTTCCTGGATTTTTTCCTGTACATATTTTTCTTGAATATAGAGTGCGCAGTATATAAGTGTGCACAGTATATGCAGAATATAAAAACATATGGAATTTTTAATTGTATAATATCCGTATGATATACAGTATATACAGTATAAATATAGTAAATATAGTATATATGCTAATATAATATGTAAAGTAACTATAGTACACATAGTACATATATATATATATATGTGCACTATATTTATTTGCAGTATGCAATATATATATATATACACATACATATGGTATATATAGCACGTATACTATTTACAGTCTATCGGGTAAAAATAGCCTGTGTGTATATATATATATAGCGTAGATAGTTTATATATATATATATAAATACTATGAACAGTATGTAATGTGTAATGTATAGCGTATATTGTATATAGCTTATATATGTAGATATATGATGCAGCCCTCCCTGGTCCCCTCCCCCCCGGGCCTCACCCCCCAATGGGTATGGGTATACAGGAGCTATGTTCCCCGCCCGCCCCTGTGGGTGGGTGGGTGGGGGGTGGTAGTAGTAGTAGTAGTAGTAGTAGTAGTAGTAGTAGCAGTAGTAGTAGTAGCAGTAGTAGTGGGTAGTAGTGGGTAGTAGTGGGTAGTAGTTAGTAGAAGTTAGTAGTAGTTGGTAGTACTGAATCCTAGTTAGTAGTAGTTCGTAGTAGTCAGTACTAGTTAGTCGTAGATAGTAGTGGTTAGTACTATTGAGAAGTGCTTAGTACTTGTTCGTAGTAGTTTGTAATAGTTAAGACGCCCCTGGTAGTAGTCAGTACTAGTCAGTAATAGAACGTAGTAGTTAGAAGTAGTGAGAAGTAGTTAGTAGTAGTAGATCGTAGTTAGTAGTTAGTAGTAGTAGGTAGTACTTAGTAATCGTTAGTAGTTAGTGATCCCCACCGTGGCACTCATCTTGACATATATTCTGGCATTGGCTGAAACCCCCTTAACCTTCCCCTCCTAGATGGACCCATCCCATTGTGGGGGACCTCGTGGTCGGAAGACGGGATCATATATATATACATACACATATAGTACATATAGGTTCATGTAGTATGTAGTACACAGGCTAGATTGTACTTTCAATTTTTTGATCTTCAATCCTCATATCTTAAAGTCAGTTTTATGGCCTAAACAATTCTGGGGTTGATTAACGATTACTTTGGCGTTGGATCACCCCCATCTTGCATGGACCAACATTCCCATGTCGGACTTGTTTTTCTCTGACACCTCATTTGGATGGTTGGATTTGGTTGAACACACCATTTTGGGTTGGAGAGAATACCCTCGGCTAAAGCACAGTATTTTGGATGGCAAAAACCTAATCTTTGATGATTTTGGTCAGGTTGGACCTCCAATGCTTTGCTGGTTCCCCATTTCATGATGGTACAACCCGCAATTGTCATGCTTTAAACGTTAAACATTACTTTTCATGCTCTGAATCCCAAGTATCCTTAGGATGGTAAAAAACAAGCACATATATTTCCGATTTTCATGGTAACCCCTTCTTGCAGTGTTTAAATGTGTCGACTTCATAGAAACTCCCAACCTTTCGTTGGTTCCATCCATCTTGGCCGCTCCTTCCGGTGCTTCGGCGGACACCGACATCAGCACCGCTGCGGTGGCGCGACACTTCTCAGCAGCATGGCGCTGGCTGGCAGACTCCTGCGACTGTTCTTTTTTCAGGTGCTGTTTGGGTAGCAACCAGTTAACCCACCAGAATTTATGCGGCAAACCCTTTAAAATAGAGTTTAGATAATTTTAGATTATTCAAGAAAACATACCATCCCCAATTGGAGTTTATTAGTGGATACATACCTACTATTTGGGATGATCTTTAAGTTAATATCATCAGATCAGTATGGGATCCCCGTGGCACTATTACACTCATTGAAGATCTTCAATAAGGGATCAAATCCCACCCCCGAGGAACTGGTATATTGCACTCATTGAAGACCTTCAATAAGGTATCAAATCCCCCTACACCCGTGGAACTATTGCACTCATAAAAAAGGGTGAAACAGGGAATTTGGAAAAGGAGTTTCGAAGACCCTTACAGCACTCGCAAATCGCAAAACCATTTTCGATCACAAACAAAACCATATCATTATATATATATGTTGATACAATCATTCTGTACGGGAATTACCACGGTTTTGGCTCTGCGTCAAGACGTCATGAACTGCATTCCCGGCAAACGGAGACTCCAGGCCGTACAGTTTCTGTAATTACATGGGATATACATAGGTATACATGGATATACATGCAAATAGATTATAATGACAGTATTGATGGTATAGGGGTTCATGATGGGATTCAAGTACGGTATAGGTAATCATAATTCTTGAGGGGATAGTTATTTCATGTTATTTCTGTGGGGTGAGAACGTAATTGCATTTTTAGCATCATGACAGATTCACAAAGACCCTAGTCTGTTAAACATTGCACAAACACGTGGTATGCAGAACCTGAACCACATGGTTCCCTGCATTCTCACTTTTGCAGAGTCATGAATGAAATTGCTGATGGATCATCAAGGGTGAGCATTTCCACACTCCTTGGAGATGTCATTGCGCAACCTTGGCCATGTTGCATGTTCGATTCAACCTTTTGCCCATGGTCTTGGTCATTAATTCCATTCCACAGGTTTTTGATGGTTTGTGTTTTGATTTGCCTTGAAACAACCATCGACCATACAACTCTCAGCTTTTGAAACCAAAAGCAATCAAGAGTTGTGGATGCTCCCTGGAGGATCCATGACAGGTCCCCGAGTCCCCGCACTCTGTGATCATCTCCAGCGCTCTTCGGCATTCACCTTCGAGACTCAGCAGCTCGGTCCGGGCATCACCTGGGAATCGCTGTGACAAAGCGTTCGCTTCAAAAAAAAGGCTACGAAAAGAAATTCGCGCTCTCCATGTGATCCAACATGATCCACCTAAGGGTTGGATCCCTACTTTAAAAAAAGTTAGGTATTGGAAAATAATCCTCAATCATCCTTAGTAATCCGGATCCAACACCACTGCCACACACCTTGAATCGTCCAAGGCACTTATGCCCCGGAGTTGGCCCTCCAGTGCTTGCTGTGCCAAATCGCGTGCCTCCTGGGTCCAGTCGTGGAATGTTTGGGTTTCCCATCTGTAAAATTTAGAATCAAAATCCAATGAAATTCATAGCTACCAACACCAAGGAAGAAACACCAACTCTCTGAATGGATCTTCAAGAATCTTGGGATAGATAATCTAATCAACATCAATCATCAATGGGTTGAAGGCCAATCAACTCCCATTTCAATTTGATCTCTCCAGAAACCACCATGTCTTCTCCTCACCGGGGGCTTCAGAGCGGAGGTGGAGTCGCTGCTGACACACCTGCAATGCTGGAATTCATGGCAAATTCAACACTTAGTCAGGATAAAAAATTGGGATGTTCTGAGTGACCAAATGGTGAATAATTATTCACAACGGAAAGAACTCACAATAAACAATCACACCATTTGTCATCAACAGAATAATCGTGGATGTGTTCTTATCAATGAAATCGTTTTCGTATGATTGTCCATCGCCATCTTTGTTTACCGGAGCGTACACATGGAAAATCCACCCTGGGACCATGTGAATATCTAGGAGCCTGGCCTTGAGATCCGCAAACTGCGCATATCCTAAGCTCTTGGTGTGAACGAAACGAGAAACAAACAAAAGCAATAGTGCCTCTTCAAACCATTGACAAAACCATCCAGAAAATCCCGCATCTTCACTTTGCTTTGTTGCCTGGATCACATCTAAAGTCCCCAGGAATTTGGGGTTTGTGTCTCAAAAAAATGATCATTTGGAGGATATATTATCATGTTACAAAGTCATCCATATTAAAAAGGGAATTTCCATTAGTTATAAACCATCCATTTGGAGTTATCCTCATTTGTGGAACCCCCCTATCTATCATTACCACCATCTGCCAATCTCCAAGTCACTGGTGTGCTGCAAATGTCGAAGGCCTTGACCCAGCTGCCGTAGCATGGCGCCCACCTGCGGTCAACAGTCCCAACATCGGGAAGGTGCCAGATCGAGATACTTTTACCAGTAGTGCCGTACAAGGCGGTGGCGGAAGTTTCAAAGATAGGACACTATAGGAGAGGTGAGTTTTTGTGATGCATGGATGGCAGAGCGAATCCACTGATGGACCGAAAGCTGGTTGGAGCTCAATTTTTTGGAGTGGTTGCAGTGGTCTCCTCAATCACAATTGTAGCATCGTGTAGTGCAATTGTCGTTGTAGTTGTAGTTGTAGTGTAGTGGAGTTGTAGTTATACTGTTGTGTAATTATATAATGTAGTGCAGTTGCAGTTGTAGTTGTGATGTTGTGCAGTTAGTGTAGTCTAATGTAGTGTAGTGTGCCGTCTTTTGCACTGTAGTGTAGTTTAGTGTAGTGTAGTCAAGTGTAGTGTAGAGTAGCGGAGCTGTAGTTGTAGCTGTAGTTGTAGTGTTGTGTAGGGTAGCGTAGAGTTTTGTAGTACTAGTCGTCGTCGTCGTCGTCGTCGTCTTCCTCGTCGTCGTCGTAGTGGTAGTGGTAGTGGTAGTGGTAGTGGTAGTGGTAGTGGTAGCGGTAGCGGTAGCGGTAGCGGTAGCGGTAGCGGTAGCGGTAGTGGCAGTGGCAGTGGCAGTGGCAGTGGCAATGGGAGTGGCAGTGGCAGTGGCAGTGGCAGTGGCAGTGGCAGTGGCAGTGGTAGTGGTAGTGGGAGTGGCAGTGGTAGTGGTCGTCGTCGTCGTCGTCGTAGTAGTAGTAGTTGTTGTTGTTGCTGTTGGTGCTGTTGCTGTTGCTGTTGCTGTTGCTGTTGCTGTTGTTGCTGTTGTTGTTGTTGTTGCTGTTGTTGCTGTTGTTGTTGTTGTAGTAGCCTCAGTGCAATTAGTGTAGTGTAGTGTAGTGTAGTGTAGTGTAGTGTAGTGTAGTGCAAGTAGTGTAGTGTAGTGTGGTGTGGTGTGGTGTAGTGTAGTGCACTGTAGTAGTGGCAGTTGAAGTTGTAGTGGTAGCTGTAGTTGTTGTTGTCGTGTCATGAATGTCTGAAAGTGGTACGAATGAGATGTTTTTTAACATTTTGACTTCGACATGTGCTTCGCGCCACAACGCCGTGCACTTTTTCGACATGTCAACTTCCAAAAGTGCTCCGACGTTGGTGTGTGTTTGTACGCTTTCACGGCGTTGTGGCGCGAAGCACATTCCGAAGTCAAAAGTGTAAAGCACTGACGGGTGCGGACCACTTTTTAAAGTTGAGATGTTGAAAGCGTGCACGGCGTTGTGGCGCGAAGCACATTTGGAACTGAAAATGCTAAAAACACAACATGTTCGGACCGCTTTTGGACGCTCAGCTGCACCACACTACCCTACAACAAAACACTACAAATACAACTGCAACTACAACAACAACTACTACTACAACTTCAACTTCGAATACCCTACAGCTACAACTTCAACTACACTACAACTACAACTACAGCTCACAACAACTACAAGTACAGGTGAAACCACAACTACACTACAACTTACTCTACAACTACAGTTCAACTGTTCAACTGCATTACTGCTACAAACTACAAATACCACGAAACTACAACTACCTCTACCACTACCACTACCACTACAACTTACAGCTGCAAACTACAAACTACACCTACAACTTCAACTTCAACTACACTACCACCACACCTCAATACAACTACCACTACAACTACCACTACAACTACCACTACCACTACACTACACTGAAACTACAACTAGAGCTACAACTACACTACTTCACCCACAACTGCTCAATGTAGTGTGCCGTGGTGTGGTGTAGACTACACCACACCACGGCACACTACATTGAGCAGTTGTGGGTGAGTTGACCACTGCAACCATTCCAAAAAGCACAACTCCAACCACCTTTCGGTCCATCAGTGGATTCGCTCTGCCATCCATGCATCACAGCAACTCACCTCTCCTATAATTGTCTATCCTTGAAACTTCCGCCACCGCCTTGTGCGCTACTGCTGGTAAACCACGGGTAAATCATTTGTAAACCATTAGTAAATCACTGGTAAATCATAGGTAAACGATTGGTGAATGATTACGCTGTCTGTTTAAGGATTCAACCCAAACCATAGATGGGGGCACTGTTGTACCATGGGTTGGCACTGATCCCCTCAACAACTGGATGGGCATTTCATGGACTCAACATGCTGGCAGCCAATCCTAAACAAACATGAACAAATATTGATTTATAGAGTTCCGGAATGGAAATTACAACAATGGACCATACATGGGCCAAAAAGCACTGTACTATATAAATATGTTATCACACAAGCGCAGCCAATCCCATGAACAATCACCATGTCTAAATGGCAAATCAACGTGGTAAATGGGCCAATTCCCAGCCGTCCTCAAGAAGACATCGCTCGCAGTTCTTCACCAGTTCCATGCCTCAGGGGTGACTGAAAACAACATGGCGAGCTATGGATCCAACGCCATGGTATCCCCCAGACCATGAAATAGTAGATTCTGGTAGATGTTCATGAAGACGCAATGATCGTGCATTGAACATGCAATGATGATGTGCAAACATTTTTTTTGAGGTGCCACCCTCAAATCTCAAAAACACCATGCCCTGAGCTGAAAACACCCGCCACATGCGTTCCCACTTTTGGGCAAGTCACCGCTGTCTGCCTTGTCCTTCAGCATCGCGGCTTTGTCCTATAGGCTCTAGATGACAGCCACGAGCTGTCAAAGCTACTGGCAAAACTGAACCCCGAGACCCTAGGAATATAACCCACTGCGGCACGGCAGGCTGTCTTTTTCTGTGTCAGTAGCCTGGGGAACGCTCGTCGTTCCTCGTTTTGCATCTTCTTTCTCTTCTTTCCGTAGGCTCCGATTGAACCACCTGATGGGTGGAAATTTCCATTTTTGCCTGTGTGTCTGCTGCACCTGCTCCAAGTCTTTCAAGTAATAGCATTCCCGGCTGCCGGATGGTATTGGCGCTCGACGATCTCTCAGGGCACGGCGTGTTGCACGCTCTACCGTCTCAGCCCTTTCCGGATCACCAAATACGAAGAGGCCTGCCAAGGTCTTGTAATGGAACTCTCGAAAATTTGCATGAATGGCGTATTGCCTGATTCGCATGTCGCTAAGAACATCAGGAAATGAGAAGTTTGTTGTGCCCAGCTTCAAGATGCTGCAACAGTCGTCCAGCTGATCGTTGTCACGTGGCTCTCCATGAGCGCTTCTCCACTGATCCCCTAGGGCAATCATGTGGACGATGCCGTAGCGGTAAAGAGAATCAGGAAGGCTACGATGCACCAAGAAGTCCTCCATGGCGGTTTTCAAATCGGCAATCAGAAGTGGTTGCGCACGTGGAAGCTATTGCTTCAAGAGGGCATCACGGCGCAACTGCGTTCTCACAGAATTCAGATTCTTCACACGTACCTGCAGGATTGGCATCCAAGGTTGTCGGAGCCAGGCACAATGGTATCCAAAGATAACAAGGTAGACTAAACTTTCAAGTGGCTTCAGAAAAAAATGTTGGTTACCAAAAGAAATCTAAATCAGAAGGACGTCGTGCGCCTGACATGTGCGGCAGTGGGACATGTCATGCAAACCAAGGATGAAACCAAAAAATACACAATCAGAATATGCTCCAGGGCACTCTTTCAGCAAGGTTGTCAAAGGAAGCCAGAGGTTGTTCCACAGGTCGTTCACGTTCGAATAACATAGAATACCATAAGGTTTCAGCTGCCTGCCAGATCTCCTAAGGACCAAAACCAAGGGTCACAAAGGCGGTCATGAGCAAAAGTTATCGCTTTAGGTAGTTCGCTATATCACTTTACATGGTTTTGTGGCAGGTCAAACAGCGGGTATTGATTTGGAAATCCATTTCCATTCATCTCCACATCAACAATCGGGGCACTTCATGGTCAGCAGTCTGCTGCCCACTGTTTGTCTTCAAAGTGCGGAAGGGATTTCCCTCAGAACAGCTTGGTTTTTGCACTTACTTTTTTCTCTCCAAGATGCTTCCTCCTGCCACCCCTGTGGTTGCGAAGGCGAGTGCGCCAGTGTAGCATCATTCACGTGACCAGGGTGCGAGGGCAGTTCAGGCTGCGAGTCCATGAGAGGTGGAGCAGCCCTTGCTGCGGCAGCCAGAGGTCTAGCCTGCCCTTGCATCAGGTGGTAAGCCATGTCTGTTGCGAAGTCTGCTCGTCGCTGTGCTTCGGTGATGGCTGTCTGTTGAGCAGCTATCAGTCGTTGAACGAGGCCTTGTCTTGACATGTCTGGCATCTGACAGAAGTCTCTCCGTGCCCTTCGGTCACTCCTGGTGCGGTCCAGAGTTTCACTCCTCTGGCTATCCATCAAGGCATCCATGATGCTCCGGCATCCATGGTGCTCCTCTCTGTCATCCCTGGTCGGTCAGGTCGATCAGCAGCAAAATGCTGCTCAAGGGCATCTAAACCCACATTTCTGAAAAAATCTGAGTCAGGGCTAAGGTTCATCCCTGAAAACACATTGCGCTGGTCTTGAACCCATATTTCAGGGGATGTTGTGCAAAACTGTTTTGTGGCTAAACATCTCTAATCCCTTCCCCCCATTACGAAACCCCCCAAATAATAAAAACTAGGGTCCGTCTCCAACTTTGGAAAATTTGATTTTTAATTGATTTCCTTTAGAAAGCAATTTAAAAATGAAGCTACCATTTCAGGGTTTCACCCCCTAATGATAAGAACTAGTCAACCCCGGGGTGTTCTTTGTATTAGGGTCCATCTTTTGAGGTCGAAGAAAAAGCTTTTTTTATAAAGGTTCTTGATTTGATATTAGGGGAAAGCTTCGAAATCCAATTCTTGGCAATATTTTAATTATAGTTTAAAAGGAAACAATTGACCTCAATGCATCCTCCCGTCATCTACTCATTACCACCCCTCATCTTCTGGTCAAGCCACTGGGTATCCCGCAGATTGAATTAATTTAGGTCCAAAATTATCAAACTCATCTAACGTCCAATGTTCCGTAATCCATTCTTGAGACAGAATCATCCTCATCCATTATCATAATCATCTGAAATCCGTGGACATGCGTCGATAAGACAAACTTCTCTATTTTCTATGATTGATTCATCGATTCCTACATATCCTCCATGTTTTCCATTTAAACCCCGATCTTCCAATCATCTTCCCATCATCTTCCCATCTTCGTCCTCACGTACTGTGGCCTCGGCCGCGCGGCCTTTGGCGGCATCGGCCACGATGGCCTTTTCTGCATCCGACAGGCCGGTGAGGAGTTGACGCCTCGGCAAGGGATGGCATTGCTGATGCTTGTTCAGTAAACTATAAAAGGGGTGTAGAATAGTTTTTGCTATTTTTTTGCCTCAGGTTTTGTTTTTTTTTTGCTTTCTTTCCTGGTATCATGTGCCTTGTATTTGCAACCGTTTGATGGTATTTGCTACATTTTGGCCCATTTTGGCATGGTAACTTTGCATTTTGCATGGTATTTGCTACATTTGGCCATGTTTGCCTTCCATTTTGCATGGTATTTGTCACATTTTGGCATTTCAACCTCTCATGTGCATGGTATTTGCTACGTTTTGGTACTTCAAACATGTATGTGGGCCTCTTGAGGGTTCTTTAGGCTTTCATTTAGGGTGTCATTTAAAGTCTAACTTAGGGTTTCATGTAGGGTTTTATCTAGGGCTTCATTTGGGATTATTTAGGGTTTCATTCAGGGTTTCTTTAGGGTTTCATTTAGGGTTTCATTTAGGGTTTCTTTACGGTTTCATTTAGGGTTTCATTTAGGGTTTCTTTATGGTTCGCGTTGCTTTAGAGTTTCATTTAGGGTTTTTCTCCGGTTTCATGTAGGGTTTCTTATCAGGATTTCTTTAGGGTTTCTTTGGGTTTCACCTAGGGCCCTAGGGTCTCTTTAGGGTTTCATTTAGGATGCAAGCAGAACAAAATAAATCAAAAGAACATGAAAAACAAAGAGACAGTAAAGACAGGAAGCCAAGAAGCAAACCAGCAGGAAGTAGAGCAGCAAAAACACATGACTGAAGAAAAGAAAAAGTAGAATAGTAGAAGTAGGAAGGCACAGAAGTACAAAAGCAGAGAAGCAGCGCAAACAGAGAAGCAGAAAAGCAAAGAAGCAGGAAAAGCAAAAAGCAGAGAAGCAGGAAAAGCCGAGAAGCAGGGAAAGAAAAAGCAGAAAAGCAGAAAAGCAGAAAATCAGAGAAACAGGAAAGCATAGAACCAGGAACCCCAAAAAATCCAAAACCTGCCGCGAAAAAAATCCAAAAATAGATAGCCCTCCCTATACAAGTGTTGAGTCAAGATCTTTGAAGATTTTGAACCAGCTGGTTCTCACAAACGGGTATTGTTGGCTCACTGGACATGACTCAACATACGATCCAACATCGGACTTCATCAAGTCTAAAGTCAGCAATTGTACTGCTAGATCTGCAGCTGAGAGGGGTCACGCAGTGGCATTCTGAACAAAGCGATGTTGGAAAATGATGTCTTGAGGTCAGCTGGCACATCTTGGGTCATCAGTCTGAGGTGAAAAGAAATCCCAAACTATCCCTAGCAATGGTACCTCTTCCTTCTGCAGTCGAAGAGCCCTCAATAGCCTATAGTCACTTTTTGCCAAGCCCCTGAGGTCATATTATATTGCTGTGTGAGTGTTCAGGTCAATGGTATGAGAATACAGAAGTATTGGATATTTTTGGTACAAGTAATCTACCGTTTCTATGACAGTAATCTATCCCCTTACGCACTGAGAATCTAAAAGACATTCTAAGATAATCCCATTGCAGTAGTTTAAAGTCTTCAGCACATTGGAGTGATGTGATACCCAACGTTACTTCCATGGTCCATTGCCCAATATTGAACACCATCCCAAACCGTGGCTTCATGTTGGATCATGACATCTACTCATTTTGGTGACATACAATATGGTGGTACAGTATTCTTAATAATTATAGGTGAAGAGGATTCAGTGGTATCACCCCTCCTAAATGCATGATTTTTTTTCAGTCACATTATGCTTAATACATCATTAAACATCTTATAATACTACAAATGGTCAATTTGAAGTACGTACCCAATGTGATCCATATCCATTCAGAATCACCAAACAGTTGTTGATTTCTGGAGCCCATCTATCAGAACCCCAGCTCCATTACCAGACGCTACCATCCACTGCCAAATCTGCCAAGGTACTGCAGCGACTTTGCCCTGCACACCGTCCGTTGCGTCAGCCGTTCGCTCATGGCCCACGGCTGTAGCTACTCAATATGACACAACGTTGAAATTTCTGGGAAATCGTGAATCTGCTGGTGTCAACATGACGTGTTGAGCTCACTGAAAACCTTGGGCTCACTGGAGCATCTGGAGCTGAGATTCTATTAGGGGTATTTGCTCGAAAAAGCTGTTGAGGATGTATGTTAGATGATGCAAGAAAGGAGGTCTCTTGTCAAGTTTGATGCAAATTGGACATGGGCTCAGACACTGTGCACTCCGCATTGACTAATTATGCATCCGGTCTATGTACAACTAAATTGGCCGTTCCATATTCAAAGATCATTCTGACCTATTCTACGGAGTCTACTCGCGAGATGAGCCGAAACCAAGATACCAATAGCTTGAGGAAACTAGTTTGGGGAACCCGAGCAAGCACCAATCTTTCCACTCTGTTTGCACTACGGAGCGCTTGGCTGCCCACCAGCGCACACTTTTGAAGGCTTAACAAGCGCAGCTTGACCCAGTTCATCGATAGGCCCGGGCCCCAACTCCTTGCTTCTGGGGGTTTGATGATAACTCCCCCAAAAACAACTGTTGGCATCAGCCTCAGCCAGCAAGTGGGCGATTTCCAAATGGCCACACACAGCTGCCACATGGGATGGGGACAATCCGGGTCCCCTGAGTCCCCCGAGTTTTGTTGCCCTGTTGTCTTGGTTTGCCCTGGCCTCAAGCAGCAAACGGACGACTTCCAAGTGGCTGTGCTGCACTGCTAAAAGCAGTGGCGTCGCGCCAAGGTCTGTTGTAGCCTGGTCTTTGTTCGCTCCAGCCTTCAGCAGCAAATGAACAACTTCTGTATGGCCAAACCGAGCTGCCAAAAGGAACGGCGTTGAACCGTCATTGGCCGTTCTGTCTTTGTTCGCCCCGGCATCAAGCAGCAAGCGAACTACCTCGACATGACCTTTTTCAGCTGCCAAATGTATTGGCGCTACACCTGCTCCAACTGGTCCGTTTGCTGCTCCGTCAACGCTTGCGCGCGCCTCAAGCAACAAGCAGGCAGATTCCAAGCTTCCGTGCCATGCTGCAAAGTGGAGCGCCATCCAGTCGGACAACTCATCTTTCAAGTTCGGATCTAGCGGTTGGGAAAGCAAGCATTCAACTAGATCGAACTCATTTGCATTGCAAGCCGCAACAAGTTGCTCCTGCTCCTTGGTATCAGGTAGCCTGAGCTGCAAGAGAATCATCTGCAAATTCGCAGGAGGCAAAACCAGGGCATAGTCGCAAAGTTCCAAACCATCTTGGGAAACTAGCCGCTGACGGAATCTGGAACAGTCCAGCCTGGGTGCCAAGAAAAGCTTCAGTGCTTTCACAGTACCTTCAAAGTCTTCGGCTTGAATGACCGCAATGACTTCTCCAGACACAGCGGCACATATGCGAATCATGGCAACGTCAAGGCTAGCCAAACTGTCGTGTGGTTTGCCCTTTACAGATTTTCACTGATTTGCTGTTTTTCGCTCGGCAAGAGGCCTCACAAAGGAGCCAGTAACATAATATTCTCCATCACTCCATCACACAGAATTTCTACAGAATAAGAGCATTCAAACCTTGGCACCATAGCGTTTACCATCTTAAATACTTTGATGTGTGGCTTTGAAATAGGATTTAGAATTGCTGGTGGGCTAAGATTAGTTGAACAGTTTCAGAGGTTAGTTTCTCCAGTAGAGAATCTAAGGGACAGGAGACAGAAGGGACGGAGATGGACGGAGAGACATCTCATCTGTCACCAGCACTATTCTTCCATGTTCTTCCTCATCAGCAGTTGTCCGACCCATTCTCTTCATCTTCCGGCTCTGAAAATGTTGCAGGACAGAATCTCAGACCCAATCAGAAACTAGTTTGCATATGTTTGAATATTATGTGGACATCAGTATGAAGCTGCAATTGAATATTCTTCGATTCCAAACATTCAAATTTCATATATTTAAATTGATTTCTACTCTTGAGGCAACAAATTGAAGCACCCATTATGCAATTTTTCATGGGTCCCACATTTTAATTGCCCATAGTGGTGTACCCAGTGGTGGATCGCCCGCTGCTACTTTTCTGTGGCTGCTTCCAGGTCGGTCTCCGGTGCGTCAACGGACAGAATCTGACAGCGATATGACACATTAGGTTGATTTGATCTTTGATCCGATTCTTGAAGAGTTCATAGATCTATAGTCCATAGCGGGCATATGTATATTTACAAATATATATATATATAATATACATATATATATATATACACATACATACATAATATATATATATACATACATACATACATAATATATATATATACATAATATATATATATATAATATACATATATATACACATACATACATAATATATATATATATATACATACATACATACATACATAATATATATATATATACATTATATATATACACATAATATATATATATATATATATACATTATATATATACACATTATATATATATACACGTTATATATATAAATATATACATTATGTAAATACAGATATATATATATATATAAATAAATAAATATATATATATATAGTAATATGTACCTGGACAGCCAAAAACGCACAATTCTCTGGTCATCATGGGAAAGAGCAATAACGACCAGTTTCTTTTTGGCAAAATATTCTTTGCCCGTAATGGCAAAAAAAAGCCGAATCAAAAGAACATTGCAGTCCTACCCGCAGCAAAACCGTATTTTTCAATATTTTGTTAGAGAAAGGCTGTAAAAAGCCGTAGCAACTCTCACACAAGTGGCTCCAGACGATCAAAGCAATAATGACCAAAAGAAATGGTTAAGGCCGTTTGACAAAAAATGGGTTCATGGCTTTCCAGGTATGTATAGGTTTTGTATATATATATATATGTATTTATGTCTATTCGGCCATGACATGAAGTATGGTTGGTGCTCAGGAACGTAGAATTGAAATGACTTAAACATCTGAGACCCGTGGAGATGGTGTTCTTGAACCGTGAAACCATGTTGGTCGACCAACATGTTGGATGGATCCTTGATTGATAATAATTACTCAGCGTCCTGGTAATAAATAGCATTATATATTATATATAATAAATAAATCTTAACTTGGGCCAACTTGGGCCTCTCTTCTCTCTCTTCTGGCTCCCCCCACGCAATCCTGCCTTGGTACTCTCTAATCTTCGATTGTAGTTCTTTTTCTTGAGATACTAACATTGAATTTGCTTCCCGGTCCGGAGCGCAACCTGCTCAAAATGTTTCTGCGAGAAACACCTTGCGATTGCCCAACAGGGACTACAGACATAAATGTGTGAGATGATCGTCAAATGTTCCTTGATGATTTCTGACGTGGACCTGAAATTATTCCTGTCATTCCTGTCACCGTGTGGTCCTATTCAGGCTCTCTCGTATCCTGCTGTCAGTCACTCCTGCACGAAGACTGTATTGAATTTACACGTGCATCTATAGTGACACCGAAGCTGAGTTCAAACAAATAGCAGTACGGCGTGCAGTAGGCAAAGTGCGAGTTGACAAGTTTGGTCAACTTGTTCGCTAAGGAACTAGCTTTGACGAAAGGAATTGAAACCAAACCTGTTCAAACCAATATTGATTTCCTTCCTCCTGGAGAACATCGGAAACATGCAAAGAAGTCAACAATATTCATTACAATTCAATTCAAATCAAAATTCTTTCAACCAAGGCAATTGGTCAAATTCTCCCGTTTTTTCGCTTTCGTCGCGTCTGCTTGCTTGACTTCGTCGTGCGTCTTCATTTAAAAATCCACAGGTGACATGAATATGGCAACCTTCAGCCAGGCACCATGATACAGTGGCCGCCAGCCTTCAAAGCCCTGAGGCTCAAAATTTTTCAGGATCACACTCCCAAGCTTTTGATCTTGTCCCCAGGGGTGCTGTTCATCAAACACAGTCACCTGAACTTCATCTCCTGGCTCATACCTAAGGCAACAAAAAATGGGATGCATCTGAAAGTGGTGAAGATGAAAATGGTGGCAAAAGTAACAAATCATAAACAGTGTGACAAACAAATGCAGGGGGACAAACAAAAGTGAAGGTATCAGTGGGTGCTGCAGCAAAAGAAGCCAACGTACGATACCTATCAAGGCATGACATTCTTTACTTTGTGCAACAGGCTGCTTGTCCAAAGCTTCACCCAAGTTGCTTCTCCAAAACAAAGCTCTCATCCCATGTAGGATCAGTTGCGGCTTTCTTGGTTTCGGTACGATACACTTCGCCCCAAATGCGGTTCTTGGCATCGACCACCACGTATGGATCTGGCTTTGGATTGTTGAAAGGGGCGTTGGTGCGATCTGGCAGCGCCCAAGCGCGCTGGATCTTCAGAGTCGCCTGCGAGCTGTGAGATGTTTGTTGAGACCATGTTATGCATCTTGTATTAAATTATAACTGCAAAATAATATGTATAATTATACATGTATATATATATATACATAAGTATATGTCGATTTCATAGTATGCAATGATAGTCATGCTTACAATTTATATCTACAATTATCCACATATCAAAGAAATCGGTCAGAACATGTGCAGCAATCACATTTACTGTTTGCATGCCCTGAACATGTCTCTACATATTTTCCCTCGGCATGGTGCAGCTGTCCCGCCATATGGGGTGTACCGCCCGAATGGCCAAATATTTTATGCTACTTTAATCAGGAAAATGATGATAAACCAGTGGATCTTGGGGTATCATATGGGTATCATATTTCCAGACCCATCCATGTTCACGTGAAGATGGTGTTTTGGCCCGTCTCAGTTTCTGCCTTTCGAGTTCCCTTCATCAGCCGTTGCATGTAGGAAGGTGGAAGGTGCTGAAAGATCTCAGGGACAAATGATGGAAAACCTTGGATGCGAAGTCAAGATGCCCCAAGTGCTCTCTGTCTCACAGTCAACACTTGATCGTAAAACAAATATACCGTGTTTTTCTGGAATCCAGTCAAGATCTAGAAACAACCGCTACTGCCGCTACTGCAGCAAATCAACAGAAATTTTCCCACTCCCAAACCGAACAGGTCATCTAATACCATGCCATGTTGATGTTTCTCTTCAGTCACCATCGGTCACTTTACTCCGAGCCACGCGGTACGTTGACGGCATCATCTGTATGAGCAGCGTACTCTTCAGGATGGTCATTGAGTTTTACTGCAGCATATTTTGCATGTTTCATTCCCCTGGGATATGTCATCCTTGCAGATGGGTTTGACGCCACAGACAAGTGCATCACAGGTTGCACTGACACCCAGAATCATCGATCATGCATATACGATGTATACACAATCAAAATCAAATAAAATCAAATAAACTCATATGAGTATGTGCATGTATTCAATCATGGAAGGAACGAAATACGGTTTGATCGAAATGCATTGTTTGCAAAAAGACACCAACAAGGTTTGTGACATCGTTTACAACCTGCACTTGCCAAATCTCCCTGAGGACAGAAAAACAGCAGAAAGGTGTTGTGCCTTGGTATGAAAAATATTAATATCAATATTCATATTAATATTAATATATATGAGCCGTTGTCAAAACGCATTGTCTTCGCTTGGTTCCCGAAAATTGGGTATTGTTTTTTGGGGGGCCCTATCGCTATCCAGCCCCCGGGCAAGGAAGAGGAACGGAAGAGGAAAGGAAAAGGAAAAGGGAAAGGGAAAGGGAAAGGAAAATGATTGGGAAGAGGAAAAGACAAGGAAAGGAAGAGGAAAGGAAAAGGAAGAGGAAAGGAAAAGGATTGGGAAGAGGAAAAGAAAAAGAAAGGAAGAGGAGAAGAAGAGGAAAGGAAATGAAGAGGAAATGAAAGGGAACGGAAAAGGAAAAGAAAAGGAAGGGAAGAGGGAAGGGAGAGAAAAGGAAAGGAGTAAGGACAGAGGAAGGGAAAAAGAGGCAAGGAAAAAGGAACAACATATTTGTGGTCTGGTCTGGGGTTGCTTTTTGAACAAATGGGTATCGCCAATGTATCGATAAGGGTATCGCTAATTTAGCCTCTTGCATGTACGTAACTTTGTGCAAACCAATTTCATATGAGGACAGTATGCACAATTATAGGTATTGTTTTTTTGGGGGCCCCTATCGCTACAGAGCGGTTTGTGCATTTTCCAGACACCGGAGAACTCTCTGTACAAAAGTAGTACACCAGAGTTTTGGCCGTACTACACACACACACATATATATATATATCTCTCTCTCTCTCTCTTTGATCTCCGGGCCTGCGGCATTGTGGTGGAAACCATGACATTCAGAGACAATCAAGAAGATTGAAGACACCTGCGTCTAGAAAGTGCAATTCTGTCGGGCTCAAATAGGTCTGTGATAAGGTGTATATATATATATATACATACACATAATTATATATATATATATTTTTTGAAAAAAAATGTATTTGGAGCAAGATAAATCGGCCAGCCCTGCCAATTCTGGTGAAGGAGGCACCCTGCCATGTGCTGTCACCTTCGAACCATTCCCATCACCGCGGAAAGTATTGTGTTGGGCTGGAAAAGGCCCAACTCTTCAAACATTGGATATACACACACACACATATATATATATATTTATATTATATTATATATCGGTTATACAGCATACGTATATATGATGGTTGATCAAAATTCCTTTTTTCCGGGAACGGCCATGCTTCGCGCATAAACAAATTTTATTTCGCGAATCTTTCGTGAACTCCATGGTTAAATCTTTCGCGGAACCCATGTTGAGCAACAACTCCTCTTATAAAGATTCACTCACCACCTGCCAAATCACATCAAATTATCGCGGATAACTTATTGATAGCCTTGTAAACATGCAGCTAGCATCACGGAATCCCCTTCTCAGGACAGGTTGTTGCTGATTAGGCATTTTTTTGCAAGGCTTACTGGGCCACTCCCTTCAAAATGCACATTGACTTTCGCCCACTCCTTCGCAGAACTTTCGCGGAACTTTCGCGAAAATACCCCTATCCGCAGGCCCCACCCATCAGCAGGGGGCGCATCGGAGGAAAACCAAACACCAGGGGAGTGGCTCTCACAAATCGTCACTGTTGGAAGCTTGGCATTTGGAGCTTGTTGTCTCTTGAGACTTCAGAAAGCAACGTTAGGCAGTACCAAATAATGTATACCATGATCTAATTATTCATAGTATCCAACTTTGGCGAAACTTTCGCGAAAAAAATCTTTCGCGAAGTCGAAAAAAACTTTCGCGAGGGTTTCCAACATAACAGGCACGGCTTTCGCAATTAAAGCTCCTTATACCAGGACCTGTAGATCGACTGCCAAATAAAGACATAAATAAATAAAGAAATATTTATATATATATTATATATATAATCATATTGTATGTATCATAGATATCAAATTAAAAAATACGATATCTGAAAAAATACACACTGCATGATATACATCAATCCCGCGGCATTGCCAAGGTTCCAAGGGACTGGATCAAATGACCAAGCGTCCTCCAAAAAAAGCAACCAGTTGGAGATCCCACGCATTGTTCACCGAGGTTCCTTCGCATCTTCGCATATTTACACCAACCATCAACAGTGAACTTCTCACGAAACATTTTCGAAGAATCAACCTGTCGTGTGACCAACCTTGCAGCCGATTTTGCCGATTACACTAAGACATGGTACCGCACAAGGCGGCCGCGGAAGTTTGTTGCCGTGAGGTATGGATGGCAGAGCGAACACATTGACGGATTGACAGGCGGTTGCGTCTCTGAGTCTCCCTTTCTCCTCTGTCTTCTTATGTCTGATTCTGTCTCTGTCTCTCCCTCTCTCTCTATCAAACTCTCTAACTAGATATCTTCTACCTACCTATCTTTCTATCTTTCTATCTTCCTAGCTTTCTGTCTACCTGTCTATCTATCTGTC